AAGTCAACATGGACCAATGCACCGCGGACCTTCGTGACTCCCATCGGGTATCGGTACGCGAACCTACGGGGATGATGGCCAACCACCGTCTTTTGCTCACGCCCTTCGAGAGCAAACGGTGTGCGGGCCATCATCAGCATGCCTCGGTTTGCAACAAGGAACTGGCCGGAGGATTACCATGGGGAGTGCCTAAGTTGCAAGAAGAACTACGGTCGGGCTAAGCCTGGTCACCTACGCACGCCTGGCAAATTCAATTTTGCCAAACCGTGGGAGCTGCCTGATAACCGCGGACAGGAGCCTCCGGCCCCCGCCGAAACGGCAGCCCCATCACCTGCGGCGGCAGCTGCGTCCGAAGCACCAGCCGCCCAAGAATCTGCGCGGCTGCGAGCTCCGAGGCCTGGTCCCAGAGCTGGGCCAACAGCAGGTGCCAGCAGCCGCGACATCACAGTGGGCAGACGCGCCGCCGAACCGCCTGCGGGGCAACCTGCCTCGAGTGGAGCGGGCAGCTCGGACGATCGCAGACGGCGACCGCAAATTGTTGCTAGACGAGGGCGACGGCAAGGATGTGATCCACCTTCACCATTGCCTGCGGGTAACCCTGCTGTTCGTCCAAGGCTTCCAGACTGGTCAAGATTCGATGTGCAAATTAGTTTGCAGAGCTTACGCAGCCTTGGCCCAAGCGTGGTGACACGAGAGTTGGGGAAACTACACTTGCGGTGGCCCCGCGCCAAAGAGCCTAATATGAGACTCATATTAACCAAAGTTGGTGTGGACAACGTCAGGCTGAACTTGATGAAGGGCTTCTGCGATGCATGTCGGGAGTGCAGGGCTTGGGACATGCCGGGGCATGCCGTCATACCGTATACTGCATTACCTGGCAAGTTAAATGATGAAGCCGAATGCGATCTGATGTTCTATAAACAGGAACATAATATGTTTCATATAACGTTTGTTGCATTCGGTATGGTGCTGGAACCGTGATACTAGATGCGTATCATCAGTGCTGGCTGCAACTCGGGCCCGCGGAAGTACTGTACTCCGACGGGGAAGGTGCACTCAACAACGACGCCGCGAAGGCAGTCCTTAAGTCAAAAGGCGCTGAGCTGAGGGTGCGTGCTCGTGGACGGCGCACTACGACCATTGAAGCCAGAAGTGGTATATTGGTATAGTACGACATTCACTTCACGCCATGGAGGCTGAACTCAACAGGTTACACATACCTCTTGTGTTCGCACGTCTACTGCATGACGCCTTTTTTGCCGCCAGCGCGTTTACTTTTTACAATGAGGTGTCTCCAGGCAGCGCGCTGTTCGCACGGCAACTGGCGATGCTACCCGACTTGCTTGTTCTGGGCCGCGGACAACAGACGGAGACATCCGACCACTCTCGAGAACAGAGTATCTGCTTGGTAATCTTTTAGGCTATTATTCAAGCCGTTGCACCAGCGAAGACAAATCGTGCACTACGGACCAAGACTACTAGCACTGGTCAGCATTACTATGACGAAGGAGATCTGGTTGAAAATCATCGCCCCGCTACTACACATGGCGACGGGGGCGGCTGGAATGGACCTTTCCTGGTCGTGCGAAATGACCCCGGCAGGGGTCAAATCATCATGGGAGTGGGGGGCCGTGATGTACAAGTCCAGTGCGGCGACGCACGACATCCATTATATTTCGGCTCGGACAACGCAGCACTGTGGACTGCGTTGGCATCCGTAGCCAGTCTACCTGCGGGGCGACCTGCTACGACATTTGGTTGCATCCCGACCAAAAAAGGAATGCTCCAGATGACACGGGCGAGCCGACTATCTCCTAAAGTACACTTAGCTTTCTCAATGCATCACCAGGAGTTGCGGTCGCATCGAGAATGTAGTCTCTGTCAGGTTAGCTAAGAGCATTAACAAGCTACCCCTGGTGGCTTATGCTGGCAGTCGTGCATTAGTGCGCAATGACACCGACGTGATCCCAGGCTCTTATTATTACGAAGCCGAATGCACTGCTCTCGACGTGCATGACACAACTGGATCAGCACATTCTAGGACCGTCCCTTGCCTGAAGTCCACCACACCTCAGGCGGGCTCCGACCAAGACGTAACGAAGTTCGAAGAACTGGCTGACGTACCAACACAAGACAAGGACGCCAGAGAAGCCCCAGAAGCCGAACCACCACAGGAAGACGGATGGCTTCCACCATTTATACGGAATCAGAAGCGGACCTCGAGGCACATATTATGGAGGTGAGGTGCACAGAACTGCAATACGAAAGAGACTGCACCCGCGCAGATGATCGCCGACAACAGTGCGCTGGTCACAGTAGCTGAAGAACAGCGGAGGCACCTGCCTACGCGGGGTAGCCAGCGATATATATATATATATATATATAGACACCACGGAGACATATCATGTTCCACTGTGCTCCGCGGATGAAGACGGCAGTTAGGGCATTGTGTAGAACTCTGCTTCGCTGCAGATATGTCAAAAGGGGTCCTCTCCGAACGACAGCGCAGAATATTGTACCTCGACCGCGTGACCACTATGCGAGTATTTAAGACCGCTGCAGCTCAGCGAGCTGCAGTCGTCAAGGGGGGGCGACCTCTTCACGAGGGCCGACGTCCAGGCGAATCCAGTCAAGGTATCTAATGCCCTGCATTTTGAAGTCAAGACATGGCTTGACAACAAGTGCCCCAAACTATCAGATATATGAAAGGCGTCACGCATCATGATTCGTGATACGTATATAAATTGAAATTCGTCAAGAACGAGAAGGGCGACATGGAGCGTACCATCAGACTACGCCTGGTACTTCGGGGGTTCATGGACCTCGAAGCCTTCGACCCGGAGACTTTCTCAGGAACGGCCCAGCGGTCGAGTCAGAGATCGCTCGCGAGCGCGGCAGCGTGCAAGAGGCAGTGGGCCACTGCTTTCCTTGACATCAACATGTCTTTCCTGAAAGGACTCACTTATCAGGAACTTGCTGGAGCAACCGGTGAAAATGAACGCGCGGTGTGCTTTGCATTGCCGCCTGGGTCAGCCTCTGTGCTTACATCCCTCCCAGGATGCGAGCACTGCGATAAGTCGAAGCACTGCCTGCAGCGCAGTGCCTCGAACCAGGCGCCGGCGCCAGAGAACCCTCTCACTGGAGCTCAGAAAGACCGTGAGAGGGTTCGGTCTCAAACCCGCGTCTTACGACGAGGAGGTCGAGACAAGCTCTCACCTTCGTGCTGCCAAGTACGTTGATGGCATTCGCCTGATCGGCACTGTGGACACCGTCGACAGGTTCGTTAAGTGTGTTGAGGATACATTTTTGGCCATGTAAAGTCAACGAGCACACTTATACCAATTGTGCTGTTAGCTGCACAAAGGACGGCGGCGGTAATGCTACACTTGATCAAGACGGATATAGAAAACAGCTCCGCCCGATCCAGCCACTGGCGCAGACGCTGAGGCCCAGGCGTCGAAGATGGTCACTGACATGCTTGTCAGCCTCAGAGGCGACTTGGCTTGCGGCCTGATTGCACAGGTGTGGTTAAGGGTATATGTTGTGTCTCTACAGCGCGTCCAAGAACCGACCAACATGCAAGTGCGACGATTGAGCGCGATTACCAGAAAGTGGCAGGCCTGCCTTAGGAATATCGTCTATCAAGCGATGACTCCAACGGGTGAAGTCGACCTGCGCAGCGACTCCGGCTTCCGGCGTCTACGCGGAGATGCCGAGGACGAGGTCGAAGGCTATGTATTCGCAGGGCGAACTTGCTACGGGTCGGACACGCGCATGCTGGTAAGCCCCGTCGTCCATCTTTTCGACGCGCACTGCAAATCTCTTCGCTTGCAGGTCCGCTCGAGCTATTCAGCGGAAGCACTTGCAGCGAGCCACAATTTGGAGGGCTGCTATCCCACGATTGTCACCCTGCGCGAACTCCACGGAGGGCCGCTGGCACCCGCTCAGTTGCAGGATATATTTGAGATGGGCGGCCTGAGCATTAAGGTCACTTGGACCGTCGATACAGAATATGTCTTCAAACCCTTGTCAAGCAAGGACCAGAATCAACCTACTGAGTGTACTTTTTTGGGGCACAACAGTTGGATGCGACAAATGATGGAGCGAGGTATCGTGCATTGTGTGCAGTGGTGTGACGCTCGCGACATGTCCTCCGACGGCCACCCCGAAGGGAGCATCGACAGAGACATGCTCCTACTGGTCATGGGGGGAACGCAATCCTTCAAGCGTGACTTAAAACGGCACACTAGATACAGGGCTGGCCAGACAAGATCGTCTGAACCGCCTGAGGAGCAGTCATCTGCCAGGTGACTTGCCTGCGAGGCAACTTGCTTGCAAGGGAACTTGCGTGCGGGTCGACCTTCCTTGTTGAGCCCGCCTGCTGCTGCCTACCTGGTGTGATATAGCGTTTTGCTGTGCAGCTGGCGGCGGACTCGCGCTTCGCCTCTTCCCCCCCCCCGATTGTAAAGGAGGTTGGGGCAAAGGCGAACGATAGCGAGCGTTTGTCCGCGGCCGTTTGTGCTCAAGCGGCCGGCCGCCAACATATGACTGTGCCTCATCGCGAAGCACACTACTTGCCATTGAGATCGAAAACATATTCGCTTGATATGGCCCGTCGTTCCCGCGACGATTTCCTACTTCTGGGAGTTTCGCTATTGCGGTACAACTGAGTTAGATACGGGCTTCGCCTTAGGCGAACCGTATGGTTGGGCCTCCCAGCCCCCTTAAAATTCGGCCGGGGCCCGGGGACCTCCCCTCCAAATCGACTGAACCAGGCCCCCAGGGGTTTGGGGAGAGGTAGGCACCCCACGCGCTGCTGAACTCAAGGTGTCGGCGGATTGTGTCACCCACTGGCAATGCCCGCAAAGCAGCAGAGAAGACGCGCGAAAAGGTCACCGATCGATGCTGAAACCATTGACCACCGAGACGCGTTTGAGGCTAGATGCGAAGGCTTCCGCAGGTATTACACCATGCTGGGCAAAGAGGACTGGTGGTGGATCATGGACGATGTTCAGGAAGCTTTTGGCGCCCAGCTGTTGCGTGACGGCCACCTCGTTATCGACGGCTTCCTGCCTGAGGGACATGTTACGCAGTTGCGGTCGGAGGTTGTCGCCTGCCACGAGGCTGGCCACCTCCACGTTGCCGGGCTGGTTGATAGCAGTATCAACTCAGTCTCAGCGGCAAAGTACGAAAACACCCAGACGCGAGGCGACGTCATTGGCTGGTTCGACAGCGATGAACAAGGCTGGCCATACGGGCGTGGCTTGCACAATTACCTTGTTAAGGTGGGCACGATGCTCTCTGAGCTCGGCGCGCACGTTCCCGAGCTGAAACAGATCACCTCGCGTTCGAAGGTAATGGTGGCCTGTTACCCTGGGGGTGGTGCGCGGTATGTCAAGCACGTGGACAACGACGGGAAACACCCCCTTTGCCGCACACGGCTCTTGACCGGCTTGCTCTACTTGAACCCGGAACCGGGGTAACAAAAGCGTTGGCGATTCGAAGCGTCCAGTCGTCTGGATTTTGCGGGGAAGATGTTGCGGTGGGGAACAATTACGTTGCTCAGCAACTGAATGTCCAGATGGGGGGCGGAGGAGGTGGGACCTTCCAGCTGCTCAATCTACGCCGCGGACGTTCCTCGATTTGTTCTCGGATGTTCCTCGATCTGTGTCCTTCGCTCCAGCTTCCCATGAGAAGGAAGGAGGGAGTGTCGAAAAAAGGGTAGCAACATTCCGCATAGGGGAGGAGGAACGCGGATGGAGCATGGAGGTTGGCGGCGATCGGCGGTTGAGGACAGAGGAGGTGGTCGAGTAGGTAACGAGGCAACGGCGCGCGCTGAGGGGACATATCAGCAGCCACGGCGGCGGCGGCGGCCCACACTGTGCCGTGCCCCTGCGAGGATGTGTGTATGTGTGGCCGTGGTGTGTCTCGACGCTCTCGGCCTGCCTGGAGCGCCGCCCTGGAGACGAGTGAAGGGGGGGGGGCGCCCCGCGCAGAAGGCGGCAGCCTCCAAAAGCTTAGTTTTAAGTCGGGCCTGTCCCTCTACAGGGGGAACATTCAAAAATAGTTTAAGAATAGTACGGGGACTACTTTTTTAAGTATTTTTGGGCACCTTTTGAATATTATCGGATTTTTTTTTGTTCGTCCAAAATCCCCCTGTAGGGGGTCACGCCCGACGTAAGGCCAGCTCGGGGGCGTGGGGCCTCCGACTCCGGCTGCAGGGACGGTCGGCCCCTGCCCAAAGGGCGCGTCCGCAGCACGCCGAGCCACCCACGGGAGCTTCACTGCGCGGGTGCCGCGGGGTCCGCGCCTGCCCCGGCCCCAGCAGCAGATCCGTCGCGTGCCCCGCGGCGGCCCTGGAGATTCGGGCTGGACGAAAGGGGGGGATTGGGAGAGGGGGGGTTACGAAATTTGCTGCATGCAGCTGGATTCGGCCTCACCGAGGGGCCCATTCCTCGATACACAGCCGCCTCGGGCGCCGGGAGGCGCGGGGAAAATCAGCTACGTCGATTTCGATTCGATTTCGACACCCCTCTCGAGAGATCGTCGATGCGATGGGTTCCCCCAGGGGGGGTAAGGACCACGGCTCCCCCAGTCATGGCTGGTCGGATCCACGGGAACCTCCCTGCGCGGGTGCCGCGAGGTTCGCGCCTGCCCCGGCCCCGGCAGCAGATCCGTCGCGTGCCCCGCGACGGCCCCGGAAATCTCCTCCGCGCCCCCCGACCCCATTGCTAGTTCCCGCGGTGCACGCCTCTGCCCAGCCTCCCGGGATTCGGCCGCCCACCGTGGCCGTCTCCTGCGCTCAGGTCGGGCGTGTCCCCCTACAGGGGGATTCTCAACGAAAAATGCAACGTACCCCAAACATGCTCCCAAATGGTCCCAAAATACTCCAAAAATCAGTCCCCCGACTATTTTTTTAACTGTTTTTGGATCTCCCCCCTGTAGAGGGACAGGCCCGACTCAATCCTGCGCACAGCTCGCGCGAGCACGCGCGACGCCGGCCTCGCTTCTTGAGAGCGCCTCGGCCTCCTGCCCGGCCTCTTGGCGCCCCAGCGCCCGCCCAGAGGATATTGAGGAGGAGGAGGAGGAGGAGGAGGAGGGGGAGGAAAAGGAGGAAAGGGACAAGGAGGAGGAGAAGAACGTGTTGGAGGAGCAGAAGCAAATGGGGAAGGAGGAGGAGGTGGTGGAGGAGAAGGAATGGAACTAAGGGAACGGAGGAAGGAGACAGCGCGCGGGGGTGCCCCCGTGCGGGCCCGTGCTCCTCTGGCTCGTGCTCGAGGGGTCTGTCGGCGGCGGCTCGCGCTTCGGGCTTCGGGCTGCGGCTCATACTGTTCCAACCAGTGACCAGGAGATTGATTTGGGCTTTTTGCTGGCTGGCTGGCTGTGCGCGTCCATCATGGTTCCTTCAGAGGTGGTGGTCCCCGGAGCGCGCTTGCGTTGTGATCTGCGTGGGCTCGAGGCTTCGGTAGCGCGCGCCCCTAGTTATTCCAAGAGGACTCGTGGTCTCGGGCCCCGAGCCGGGCATCCCAGTGACCTATACTTAGCCTCGATCGCCAGAGTGACTTTCGAGCACCGGGAGAACACCCCCAAGAATCGAGGGGCTTCACGTCTCGGGCCCTGGGGGACACCCTTCCGACGCTCTTTCGGCACTGGTTCGACGCTCCTTCGACACTCTTTCGGCACTTTTCCGGGCGCTCGAAATCATTTCTGGGATGTGGTCCTTCATCAGCGAGCGAAGAACAGTATAAAATAAACTTTTTCGCTGTCGGGGGCGCCTGTCCCTGGGCGGCTGGAAAGTTTATACCCCTACGGTGCCATCGTAAGGGTATACACTTTCCAGCCGCCCAGGGACAGGCGCCCCCGACAGCGAAAAAGTTTATTATATACCGTTCTTCGCCCGTTAACTTCAGTACGATGGGAGCAACATAACCCTGGGGGGCGGCGCGAGAGCGCGAAGCTCATCTCGCTCCCGCGCATCGCGCAAGCGAGAAGCTGGGCGCCCCGTATCCTCGGCGGCGGGCCCGGGGGGGAAGTGAGAGGGGGCGGGTCTTCTCGGAAGGCTCGGAAGCCCCCCGGCCTTCTGCCAGAAGTTTTCGAAGCCCTCCCCGAAGACGCGGACGAGCCTCGCAGGAGGCGCGAGGGCTTCCGAGAACAAGCCCCACCAGCTTCCGAGAAGGCCTCCTCCTGCTCACCTCCCCCCCTCGCTCGCTATCTTACCAGCCTGGAACCTGTCCCTATCCCTATGTTGGGCATCGCCCTCATCACGATGGCGATCTTAGGGATTCCCTCAGTTTCTGAGGCTGCATCCCTGAGATGGTCATCTCCTTTTCGCGTGTCCATCTCAGGGATAGGGACAGGTTCGAGGCTGGTGCTCCTCCTGCTCACCTCCCCCCCCTCGCTCGCCATCTCCTGGCCTGTCCGCGCAGGCGCAGGAGCAGACGCAGCAGCGGCCTCGCAGACATATCTGTCCGTGCTGCCCGCGACGGGGTGCGCACACCTCTCTGCCGCTCTGCCCCCTGCGCAGCCGACGGGGGGGGGACATGGCCAGCGTGCCGCGCGCCGCGGATACGACCTTTTCCTCCCGGGGGCGGGAAAGAGGGGGGGGAAGGAGGAGGAGGAGGAGGAGGAGGAGGAGGAGGAGGAGGAGGAGGAGGAGGAGGAGGACTAGGGTAGGGGGGGGTGGATATCATGGCGGGGGCCATGGTATTTCCCCAGATCTCATGGCGCCTCTTCATATTTCATTACGTCCCCGGCCCCCCCGCTGGGCCGCGCACGTGCCGCCGGTCGTGATTTGCCCCCCCCCCCCCCCACCCCCTCTTGGACACCCCCCTCTTGGAAACACACAGACACAATTCATCGTCGACTCCCAGGAAAAGATGGGAACATATGGGAAGTGGGGGGGAAGACAAGAACCCAGAACATATGGGAACAGATGGGGCCCCTTCAATAGCCAAAGGGGGGAAATGCCGGAGTGCCGCGAGCCTCGGATACGACTTTCCCCTTCTTGGCTCCAACTTTCATCGCCCAGTGGTGCTTTGAGTTCGCAGTTGTGCACGCCTCTGCACCTGTCCACTTCTGTGCACCGTGCAGAACAGTGCATCCCATTCTCTGAGCTCTTGGCTGATATCTTCGAGCCGTTCGCTCGCAGAGGCCGCAAGTGAGCTGTGGGCCACAATCTTTGGGCAGAGCAGCAGGAGAGCCCGTATCTACCAAGTCTGGTAAGCCCTCTTTCTCCCTTCCCGCAGCATCCCCAGTTGAGGAGGAGGAGGAGGAGGACGCGGAGATGGAAGACGCTATCCTTACGTGCAGTCCAGCTCCAGGAGTGGAAGCCCGGCGACGGGGGCGAGCTGGCAATCTATGAGCAGAGCGACAAGAACGTGGAGCGCCGAGTCGTGCAGCCCCGGGGCAACCGGCTGCTCCTGTTCTGGTCCGACTGGCGCACTCCACACGAGGCTCGGCGGCCAGCCCGGGGGGGAAGTGCGAGGGGGCCCGCCTTCTCAGAAGCTCCTCCTCCTCCTGCTCCTCCTCCCCCTCCTCCTCTTCCTCCTCCTCCTCCTTCTCCTCATCCTGCTCCTCCTCCTGCTCTTCCTCCTCCTTTTTGACGTTGCGCGGGCCCAGATCGGATTACCGCCTTCCCCGAAGGCGCCGAAAGCCTCTCAGCAGGCCGGAGGGCTCCCGGAAGCCCCGCCGCCCTCCGAGGAGGCCTCCTCCTGCTCGCCTTCCCCCCCGTCGCTCGCCGCCGTGAGGTGCGCCCGGCGCAGCAGCCGCGCTACGCCGTGACGCTGTGGTTCCTGCACAAGTGCACGGATCTGCGGTGGGCGGAGGAGGAGGAGCTGCCAGCCCCCGTGCCGGCCCCCGCCTCCGAGGCCTCCGCCCCTGGATCCGGAGGGGCAAAAACAAGCAGACACGATGAATCGTCGATTCCCCAGAAGAGAGGGGAAAATATATGGGAAGTGGGGGGGAGGAGACGCAAACGCAGAACATATAGGAAAACATGGGGAATCTTGTCATTTGTGTGTATTTATTCGTGTGTCCCAAGGCCCCTTCACTGGACGCCGCCAGCGGAGACGTGACCGGCTCGCTGCTCAGATGCCCTTGGTCTGGCTCTGGCGGTAAGATCGGGATCTCAGCGCGCCGCCCAGCAGAGGAGGAAAACGTACCCATACCGCGACCCTTGCCCTCGTTTCCTCCTGTTTGGGCCTCCTGGGAGGCCCTCGTCGCCACCGCTGGATTCGCTCCGAAATCCTGGTCAGAATGCACCCCGGGAGAGGTCCGGGGAGTGGCGGTATTGGTACCTTTTGGTTCCTCCAGCCCAGGGCCAACTCATGATCAAGCCGGACCGATGGGGGCTCTCTCAGGCCAGGTGTACGACAGACGTATGTATGTATGTTCGTCTGTCTGTTTGTCCGTCATTCATTCAGTCAGTCTGTCTGTATGTCTGTATGCATATGTGTATGTGTATGTGCGTGTATATATGCATGTATGTATGTATGGGTGTATACATATGTATATATGTATATAGGTGTATCTATGTATATGTGTTTATATGTCTGTATATATGCATGCATGCACGCATGCACGCATATTTGTATGTATATATGAATGCATGCATGTACGTCTATATCATTATATGTCTGTATACATGCATGTCTGTATGTGTGTATGTCTGCATGTCGGTATGTATGTATTTCTTTATGTCTGTGAGTGCCTGTATGTATGTATGCATGCATGTCTGTCTGTATGTCTGTATGTGTATATGTATGCATGTATGCATGTATGCATGCCCATACGTCTGTACGTATGTCTGTATGTCTGTATGCCTGTATGCTTGTATGTCCTTATGTATGTCTGTCTGTATGTATACATGTATGTACGCACGTATGTATGTACGCATGTAGGTTGATAGACAGGTATGTCTGTGTATGTATGTGTGCGTGTATGTATGTATATAGGTATGTATGTATGTATGTATGTATGTATGTATGTATGCATGTATGTATGTATGTACGTGTGTATATCGGTATGTATGTTAGAACGTATGCCCGTATGCATGCAGGTTCGAATGTTTGTATGTATGTGTGTATTCATATATATATATATATATATATATATATGTAGACGTGTGCATATATATCTATATATATATACAGTTCTGCATGCATGCAGGTACGTATGCACGTATGCATGAATGTATGTATGCATGTATGCATATATGCATGTATGCATGTTTGTATGTACATGTGTATGTCTGCATGTATGCATGTCTGTATATGTACGTATATGCATGTATGTATGCATGTGTGGGTGCATGCATGCATGTAAGCATGTATGCATGTATGTATGTGTGTATGTGTGTATGTGTATGTGTGTGTATGTGTATGCGTGCATGTGTGAGTGTATTGTCATGTATACATTTGTGGGCTGCTTGCGGTGTTCGTCCACATGCGACGCGCAAGCCGCTGGTTCATCTTACATCTCCTGCCAGCTGCCAGGGTTCTTGTGAGGGTTGGGAAGTTGAAGGGTAGTGTTGGTCTTTCTCGACGCTCGCGTGAAGGTCGCGTGAGGAGAAACCCGTCGTTGGTGGTATCGCGGCATCTGGGGACCCTCCCGAGAGCCTCGGACTAGATCCATCCCTCGTCTGTTCCATCTTTCATTGTCTAGCTGCGTACACTGCGTAATTGGTTGTCCGCGGGGAGCCGCGGGGAGAGACAGCTTAGCAGTCTTAGGGATGTCACCCTGTCGCTTCCCAGCCGATGAAGGGGGAACGCAATTACCTGATAGAGCGTTTGATCGCGGGAGTGGCTGTATGTAGCGTGATCATACCCGGCTGCCCGTGGCAAATTCCGTCACCGTGCCAGCGCAGCCTTTTGTACGTATTCACGCATGATGGTTTTGCAGGGCTCTCCCGAAGAGGCTTGGTGTAAGCATCTTTTCGGATGCAACTCCTGGGAGGTCAAATTCTGACCTAACCCTGGTCCGAAAATCCGGCTCAATCCGGCTTAATCCTGCTTAATCCGGCTTGATCCCTTTTAATCCCGCTTAATCCGCCTTACTCCTGCTTAGTCCGAGGCCCATTCTGGCGTAACAGCTCCCACATGGGGCTTCATCTTCTTTAGTTTTTCCGACGGAAGCCTCCCAGTAGTTGCCTTCTAAGCATCTTTGGGCCGGTTGGGAAGCGGTGCTGTGATGCGGTAGCGCAGCGAGGCCGTAACGTTGCATGGCTGCTGCGTTGCCTTTGGCGTGCTTCTCGAGCGCCTCCTGCGGGGCTCGCTAGGGCACTCTCAGGAGCCTCTCGGGGCCCCGTGGCCGTCACGTTATATGGTTGCTGTGTTTGGGGGGCGAGGAGGAGGAGGAGGAGGAGGAGGAGGAGGAGGAGGAGGGGGAGGAGGAGGGGGAGGAGGGGGAGGACGGGGACACGACATGGCTGCTGTGTGTGGGGGGCTCCTTGGGGGCCTCTTGGGGCGGCTCGTCGAGGGGCCTCTCGGGGACCCTTCGGGGGGCCCCCGCGGGGCCGCTGCGGGTGCTGCCGAGCGCGCGGCCGCTGCGAGATGTCCCGCGCCACGGGGAGGGGTCTGGCGGGGCGGTGCGACCCGCGGGCCCGCACTGCTGGAGAGGGCCCCGCAGGGAGTCAAAGAGGCCCCAGCTTTTGGGAACCCCCAAACCGGGTGGTGAGATAACGGGTGGCGACCTGGAATCCCCAAAAAGGTCACCGCTGGGTTTGGGGACGCGGGGTCGCCACCGGGTTTTGTGACTCCTGGACCCACCAGTGTCCGGGACATCCTCGGAAAACCGCACGAGTCCCCAAACCGGGTGGTGACATCAAATCGCCCGAGACTCACCGCCTGGTGTTGTCACCACCACGTTTGGGGACTACCAAAGCCTCGAATTGATCCCTATCCCCAAGATCGACACGCCCAAAGGCGATGACAATCTTAGGGATGCGCCCTGAGAACCTGGGGGAATCCCTGAGATTGGCATTGTGATGAGGCGATGCCCAGCTCAGGGATAGGGATCTGTTCCAGGCTGGTAAAAGAGGCCCCCAGGTTTGCATCTCAGACGGCTCCAGGAGGCGCCCCAGCTGGCCAGGCATGCCCCGAAGAGGGCCCAAAGACGCCGCACGAGATGGCGCCGAGGTGCCCCCGAGAGGCTCCGATAGTGGTCTGTGCAGGCCCCCCCTCGTACGTCATAAAACCCTGTTGGGTTTTCATACGTTCGAGGCACTCTCATCTTCAGGCCAAGGTGGCTGCAAGAAGGGCCCTGGAAGCTTCCAAGGGGGCCGAAGAGGCCCACGAGAGCCTGCACGAGGGTCCAAGACGCCCCCACCATTGTTCAGATTTGCCTCCACCACGGCCCCAAGACGGCTCCAAGAAAGCCTAAGATCGCTCCAAGACGGCCCTAAGACGCGCCCAGACGCACCCCAAACCACCCCAAAGCCCCCCAGGATGCCCCGAGGGACCCTGATATGGTCCCAAGAGGGTCCCAAGAAAGGACAAGCCAACAATTTCGTGCCCTCTCATGGGCAAGGCACTTTCTGTCCCCATGCTGGTCAGATGACGGGGAGCGCTCTCAGTGCGATCCGATAGTTGAATGGAGCGGTTGACTAGAGGGGACGTGAGGGGGATCGATGGCCCCCTTCCGGGTCCATCACGCGGCCAGGTTAGCTGCTTTTTCGACCCCATTGGTGTTAAGAGGCGTCAAGGTAGCTCAAGAGGGAGCCAAGATGCCACTGAGATGGCATCAGAGGGCTTCAGGGTGCGCCCCAGACAGCCTGACAAGCTCCCCAAATGATCCAAGACGCTCCGAGATGGTGCCAAGGTGCCCCCAGGAGGCTCCCAAATTGATCTGCATAGGGCTCTGGTCAAGCGAGCATCGTACCGTCCACTTTTCAGCTCCAGATTGCTCCGAGAAGGGCCCCAGAGGCTTCACAGGGAACCCATTCCACACTAGAGCCCAAAGGTGGCCCAGTACGCCCCAGACATGGCGTAAGACGACCTCCACGACGGCATCAAGGCGGCCCAAGACCGCGCCAAGATGTCCCCCCCCCCCCGCACCCCTCAAAGAGCTCCCAGGCCCAGACTTCCATTAGGTCCCAACGAAGCCCCAAGGAACCTCAAATGTGGCCCGACGAGGCCACGGGAGGGCCCCCAGGGAGCCCACGAGCGCCCCACGAAGGTCGCAAGATGATCTCAAGAGTGCCCTAGTAAGGCTCCAGGACAGGACAAGTCAATGATCTCGCGCCCTATGTCCGATGTGTAGGCGCTTTCCATCCTCGTGCTCTTGGGCTGGCGAATGTTCTTGGGTTCTAGTTTTCCATTCGTGGCAATATCATGGCGGACGCGTTTAGGCGCTATCGTATCAGCATTTATGCATGACTCTCTGCACCGAGTCGATTCGTGATGATCCCACCGTGATGCTTTTATGACACCAGTCGCGGAAAGGAGTCCGAGGGACGGCCACGCCTGGGGTGCACACCTGTGGCAGTGGGACTGATACAACTGCTGCGTGGGCCACATCGCCTGTTGACGATGGACCTGGCGACAGCAACAACGACGACGGCAAATCCGACGGCGGCGGCGGCACCGTTGGACGCGGTCACACTGGCGCTCACTGCGAGCAGCTTGTCCAGCCCGCGGGTGACATGGTGCGGCACTGCTGGCGTCGCCTGGAAGTACAGGGAGGTCAACTCAACGACGGTCGGCATCGAGCGAGGGGGGGAAATGAGAAGGAGAAACCCTGCTCAGAAGGCTCTGAAGTCCTCCGGCCTTCTGCGAAGTTTTCTAAGGCTTCCCCGAAGACACATAATCTTTCTCAGAAGGCGTGCGGGTTTCTAAGAAGCGTCGCCGCCTTCTGAGAAGGCCTTCTCTCAAGGGCGTAAAACACTCCCCTACCCTGGCTTATGAGGCGCGGTGCGCTGAACATCCTGTGGGCTGACAGTGTAAGCCCTGCGTATCGCGCGTGCCGCGCGGCGTCCTGGCTGGCGACTCTCTGGCCTGTGGGAGCTCTCGAGAGGTTTACGGACCTCGCACTTGTAATCCAGGGTAGGGGCGTCTCACCATTCCTCAATTCCTCCCACTGCCCCCTCCTCCTCCTCCTCGTCCTCCTCCTCCTGGTCCTGCTCCTCCTGCTCCTCCTCCTCGTCCTCCTCGTCCTCCTCGTCCTCCTCGTCCTCCTCGTCCTCCTCGTCCTCTTCCTCGTCCTCCTCCTCCTCCTCCTCCTCGTCCTCCTCCTGCTGCTCCTCCTCCTCCTCCTCCTCGTCGTCGTCGTCGTCGTCCTCCTCCTCCTCCTCCTCCTCCTCCTCCCTCTCACTGCCCCCCCCCCCCTCGCTCGCCGCCGAGAAGGGGCCGGCCGCTGGGAGCTGCGCGTCGAGGTGCCGGGCGAGAGGCCCGGCTGCCCGGTCCTGGAGGCGGCGGCGGCGGGGCCAAACGTCGGGGCACTGCTCTGCGGGGGGTGGCAGCGCAGCGCTGCGCCCGTCGCGGGGCGAGGCTTCATCAGGAGGGGGAACACACACAGACACACACACAAGTCCTCGTCGACTCCAAGGGAAATCTGGGGAACTATTGGAAGGGCTTCATCAGGAGGGGCAACACACACAGGCAGACACAAGTCCTCGTCGACTCTAAAGGAAATGTTGGGAACTATTGGAAGGGCTTTATCAGGAGGGGGAAAAACACACACAGACACAATTCAGCGTCGACTCCGAGGGAAATCTGGGGAACTGTTGGAAGTGGGGGGGGGGCGAGGCTTCATCGGGAGGGGAAACACAGTTTTGGACGCCCGAAATGGGCATGGAAACAAGTGGTACAATGCCGAACAGCAAATGTTGTCCCAAACCAACAACGGCCGCTGTTGGGCAGGCGGCCCTCTGTCTCAAACGTACACAGCCCGCGGCGACACCGACAGCGAGTCCTGCTCAAAATGAGCAAGAACTGCTGTTGGGCATTGTACCCATTCTTTCCGTACCCATGTCGGGCGTCCAAAATGACACACACAGAGACAATTCATCGTCGACTCCAAGGGAAAATATGAGAAACTATTGGAAGTGGGGGGGAGACAACAGCCCAGAATATGTTGGAACATGTGGGGAGTCTTGTGATTCGTGTCTGTTTATTTGCGTGTCCCAGGGCCCCTTCACTTGAGTCGGGTACGTTCCTCTGCAGGCGGATTACCCAAGCGCAGTGAACAACATCGTCAGGGGACGATGTGTTGTGCTCTTTGGACTACCGCTGCTGATTTTTTCACGATGCATTAGTTCCTGCCAACATCCGCATGTAGGAGGACATGCCCGACCTAGGGTGAAGTCGGGCCTGTCCCTCTACAGGGGGCATCTCCGAAAATAGTAAACACATGCCGGGGGACTATGTTTCACATCTTTTTGACCGTGTCAGAGTCTTGTTGGAGCATTTGTTAACGCTTCGTCCAAGCTCCCCCTGTAGGGGGACACGCCCGACTTAAAACTGTAGGAGGCATGCCCGATCTGGGGGGCAGGGTGGCGCCTCGCCCCCCCTCGGGGCCACGCGGAACGCCGGCAGCCCCGTGGAGTCGAGCAGCGGCGGAGCGTCCCGGCTCGCCCAAAAAACCCCACCGAGCAGTGTTCTAAGAACCTCTTGTGGTTCTCACGGAATGTCCTTACGGTAGGTTCGCGTCGTGTCGACCGGCGGCGACCCCAGCGCGGGCGTTCAAGGTTGAACGCCGCCAGTGGCCCAGAATCGATCGATATTGAACGATCGGACGTTGCGGCAGCGGCCGATCGTTCAAGGTTGAACGATCCAGCGTGGTGTCAGAAACCAACGCCGGGGTCGACACGACGCGAACCTGCCGTAGAACATTTCTGGCGGAGTCCTGTCGTGTATCATCACATCGGGTTTCTGTTCTAAGAGCCTTGTGTTTGTCCTCAGAACATGGTTGGGTTCTAGGAACTCTTCGTGGCAGGACTATAGGGATGCCGTGACGGTCGGCCCCTGCTCAATCGAGAGCCGAGTGGGTTCTGGCACGAGAGTGGATCCGAGGAGGAAAAGGTACCCATACCGCTACCGTTGCCCTCGTTTTCTTTCTGCTTTTGGCGTCCGAGGAGGCCCTCGTCTCCACCGCTCGAGTCGCCTCGAAATTCTGGTCAGGACGCACTCCGGGAGAGGTCTGGTGAGTAGCGGTATCGGTACCTTTTGGTATCCCCACTCGGGTAGCGAGAAGCGTTCGTCCCCGGGACAACAAGCCGCCCCCGTCCGAGGAGTCCGATGGAGGCTCAGATAGGCACGAGCGGCGAACGCATCCACATTATCCATGCCCTCGCGGTCTGGTTTCTGGGGCGCGATCCAGGAGGAGGAGGAGGAGGAGGAGGAGGAGGAGGAGGAGGAGGAGGAGGAGGAGGAGGAGGAGGAGGATGCGCGGTCGCACGGATGCGCTCCGCGTGGGGCATCCGAGAAAAATGGTTCCGAGGACCGGCAGCAGCCCCTGATTCATCTTGAGCAAGTCTTGCTGTCGGTGTCGCCGTGGACGCTCTCCACTTGGGACAGAAGGCCGCCTGCCTCACAGCGGCCGGTGTCGGTTCTGGATAGCACTTGCCGTTGGGCATCTGTCCCCGTAACACCGTCTTTGGAGCGCACTCGCGCGCGCTAGCATCTGGTGATTGATGAGAAATTTAATTCAGCGTCGATTAGCGTCGATTCGGCGCGGATGAGCGTCGGTTGGCGCCGATTCGCAGGAGCCAGCAAGGTGCCATCGGAGGCTCCTCTGAGTTGCCACCGAATGGGGTGGGTGTGGCAAAGCTCTTGTCCCAGCCGAAGGTGTCCGACAGCCACGTGAGCGTGTCCTCCTCCTCGGGCGCGCCGCTCGCGCAGCTGCCGCTGCCCGCCGGCCGGTGGGAGGCCTCGGGCTCGACGTGGTCGCGGAAGCGAGGCCTACTCGCCACCACCTTCGAGGCTCTGCCTCCTTAGCCATGAGGAGACAGAGGGCGAGGAAGGGCAGCGAGGTTCAGCTCGGATGAAGAGAACTGCCAGCTTCCCAACTGGTGGGGAAGGGGTCTCCACCATGCGAGGACTGTCCAGGCAGAGGGGAGACGTGGGCGACGAAGAAGGGAAGAAGGGACCACGAAGAGGGCGACGAAGAGGGCGACGAAGAGAGCGACGAAGAGGGCGACGAAGAGGGAACGAAAGAGAGAGGGCGACGAAGAGGGCGACGAAGCAGGAAAGAAGGGACAACGAAGAAGAAAGGGAGAAGCGTCACTCACACACAATTCTTCGAGGCTCGGACGGGGCCAGGACGAGGAGGAATCCGCTGCAGAGCGTTCCGGGACGCTCTGAGAAGGCCGCGGCGCCCGAGACATCCTCCGGAGCGGCCGGATCTCAGAGATTCTCGAATTCCCCTCCCCCGACTGTGATCCTCGTCCTGGCTTCGTCGTGCAGTGGGGACGCGCTCCAAGACACCGTATGGCTTTCGTCAGGGTGACTTCCCTGGTCGTTAAGAGGCTATTGCCCCCAGGGTACCCTGGGTTTCTTTCCAAATCGCACCTCGCGCCTTTCTTCATCTTCCCCGGAAAGAACATTCTCGGGCCAGGATGCCTAGGGTTAAGTCGGTCATGTCTTTCTACAGGAGGAATATCCAAAAATTGTAAAACAATAATTAGGGGACGATTTTTCGATCATTTTATGGGGACGCTTTTTTTCGTTAAACAGAAAAAAGTTGCATATTTGTTTCGTCCAGAATCCACCTGTATGGGGACATGCCGACCTAAACCTAAGGTTTCTCCGACTGGACCCTGGGCAAGAAAATTTTCAGGGCTGGGCTTCTTGCGGAGCCTTCTTGCGGCCGCGCCCCCGCTGTGAGGCTCTGCCCACGACGCCGGCCTCCTCGTCCACGGCCGCGGCACCAGTCGCATGCTTAGTTGCCTCGATACGCGCGTTTTGAAATGCAACACGTCCCGTGTGGAAGGCGTCCGCGTCAATACGTTGCGCGTGCTGGCTCCACGTATAGGGCCACGTTCTGGCGAATGTGTCGCGTCGGACCTACGTTTTCGGCCTACGTGTTGAGCTCCGTATCAATACGATGCCTGTTCCTTGAGATCCGACGTTGCCAAAAAATTGCAACATCGCAAAAAATCACGCCCAGAGCCCCGGAGCGCATCTTTCTGCGTCATTTTTCGAGCCAGACCGATCTGTGAGGGCCCCGGGGCCCGAAGTTGAGTGACAACCCCGTTGCGAAAAAATTGCAACGCCAGGATCTCAGGGTTGCGTGTTGCGTATCGGGGCAGCCAAGGTCGCAGGGCCCGGCGACGCCGGCTCGGCAGCAGCGGCCGCCGCCGAGAAGGCGGCGGCGGCGGCTCCGTGCACCCGCGGCCGCGCCGCGCCGGTGCGCCACGGGTGGCTGCGGCTGGGCGACGCCGGAGGCGGACGTCGGCGCTACGCTGAAGTCGGGCATGTCCCCCTCCAGGGGGAGTATCCTCCTCCTCCTCCTGCTCCTCCTCCTCCCTCTCCTCCTCCTCCTCCTCCTCCTTCCTCCTCCTCCTCCTCCTTCCTCCTCCTCCTCCTCCTCCTCACGAAGAATAGTAAGAAGTGCTCTGGGGACGATTTCTCGTGCCCTTCTGACTGTTGTTGATTATTCGTTGGCTACGCTGGATTTTTCCTCGCAGATCCGCCTAGAGGAGGACATGCCCGACGTAAGGCTACGCGTAAGAGTGCCTATGCGCTGGAGTGGCCTTTGGTGCGGGCACACGTTGGACGGGGCTGGGACTGAGAGGAGGAACATATACTCATACCGCTACCCTTCGCCGGTTTTCCCCTTCGTTGGCCTCGTCACCACCGCTGGATTCGCTTCGAAATCCTGGTCGGATCGCACCATGGGAGAGATCTGGGGAGTAGCGGTATCGGTACCGTGTCGTTTTTCTCAGGGACGAGGATCAGTCCGCTCCAGAGCGTCCCCGAACGCTCTCAGAGCGCTCCGGGAACGCTCTGAGAAGCAAGGCCGCGGCGCCCGAGACCTCCTCCAGAGCCGCCGGATCTCAGAGATTCTCGATCTTATCCTCACCCGATGTTCTCCTCGAGGAGGAGGAGGAGGAGGAGGAAGAGGAGGAGGAGGAGGGAGGAGGGGGAGGAGGAGGAGGAGGGGAGGAGGAGGAGGAGGAGGCTTCGTCTCCACAATGGGGGCCCCAGATGTCCGACTGCGATGCGGCAGCAGCAGGCTGCGCGCTCGGGTTTTGCCCCCCCCCCCCCCCCCCCCCCCGCCCCACCCCTCCTCCTCCTCCTCCTCCTCCTCCCTCCTCCTCCTCCTCCTCCTTCCTCCTCCTCCTCCTCCTCCTCCTCCTCCTCCTCCTCCTCCTCCTCCTCCCCCCCTCCCCCCCCCGCGACTCAAGCACTATCGGCTCGAGCGCATTTTGCAGCGAGCCGAGGCCTCTCACTTCCGCGCAGTGCTTGAGGGGCAGCGGGCTTCTCACACACAACAGATTTGTGATCAGTCCCGCTGGCGAAGAGAGGTTCGCCCAGCAGCAGCCATGGCACGTGCTTGGTCGACATGTAAGCGATGCAACACGTGCGAATACAACGATGTGCTGCTGAAGTCGGATTTGAAGTGTCGCAAGTGCAACTCACCCGTGAAGCTGCACAAGGCACGCAAGCTCAAGGACCAGCCGAAGGACGACCAGCAGCAGCCCAGCCTTCAAGGGGCGATGCAGGGCAGCCCCACGGTCTCCAGTCTGCTGGCGCAGGCGAGCAAGCTCGAGCAGGACCCCGCGAAGAAGAGGGACTTGCAGGAGCAGGCGCGCCAGGCGGAGCAGTCGGCCAAGTCGACGGCAGTCCCGCCGTCCGAGCGCCCAGCAGAGGCGGTGAAGCGAGCGGAGGGCGCCTGGAGGGACGCATCGCTTCGCTATGAGCAGTCGGCCGCCCACGTGAAGAGGTGCCGCGAGAACCTGGAGCGTGCTCTCGCCAAGGAGGCGGAGACCCTGCGGGCGCTCGCGGCGGCCGAGATCGGCAAGCGGGCGGCGGCCACGGCGCTGGCGAAGGAGCTCGGCATCAACACGAGCGACAACGGCGGCGTCAGCGGCGGCGGCCCCTCCAAGGCAAAGTTCGTGGACCTCTCGTGGGACACGGAATTCTTCGCCAGCCTCGACAGCGTCGATTGCGAGCAGGCGGAGAAGGACGCTCTGAGGAAGTTCGAGGCCGACCTCATCGCCACCAAGACGGATTTGGCATCGAAGTCGGCAGACATCGCCTCCTGGAAGGCGAAGATCAGCGAGATGAAGCAGGCCATCCACGAGCGCATCCAGAAGAAGCGCAAGACGGAGGCCACGAAGGACGGCGGCGGCCAGACGCCAGCCACCGCCGACAGCAGGGGCCCCACGGCCACGGCGGCCGCAGGGGGCTCCCCAGCGGGCGCCCCAGCAGCCCCACCTGCTGCGCCGTCGGCGGAGGCACGCGGCGGCCCCGTCCGAGGAGGCAGTCCAGGCCGAGATGCAGCGCATCAAGCAGGCGAGGGAGGCCGCTGAGGACGCTGCGGCGCGCGCGCAGGAGCACGCGCCCGCAGCGGCAGCGGCGGCCGCCTCGGCCTGAGTGCCAGCTCCCGCCGAGGGTTTGTCGGCACCCTCGGCCGTGTCAGGGAGCGGGCCGTCGGCACCAGAATGAGCTCATGATGCTACCGCAGGTGCCATACCTCATGAAGCAGCTCACGACGCCAAGGGCGTCATCACCATGTTCTTCAGCAGTGTCACATGTCTCGGGCCCAAGTCATGAGGCCATGTTGGGTGCAAAGAGTTCCTAGACCAGTACGACCTCGTAGGGATGGTTGAGACTCACGCGGGATGCCACTCCAGAGCGCAGTGGGCGAGGAAGTCACGAGCGATGAGGTGGAAGTACCTGGGCAATGCAGCTCGCAGCACAGGACGAGGCAGTTCAGCAGCAGGGGCGGCCAGGGCCAATGAAGGAGGGGAAGTCCTTCTCGCGCCTGGCCATCGTAACGTTCATAGGCTATATGGCAAGACGTCTGAGGCCGCCGCTTTCTGTGCCGGCGGGCCCAGCTCGTTCGACGGGTTCCTCCCCGCCGTGGCTCACGTGCAAGGCTGTAGTATCCTACTTATTATTTTTTATGCGCACCCCTCGCTCGGATTCTCGGGCGCCAGCGCGCAGAGATATGCGCGTCTTGGCGCGCTCTTGCAGTCAGTGCAGCTCCCTTGGATAGTGCTGGGGGGCTTCAATCAGGATGTTTCTGCTTTTCGGCGTTCTGCGTTCGTGAAAAGGGTGCACGGGCACATTCGTCAGGCCGATATTGAATGCACGTGCGTCGGGAGTGCAGGTAGCTCACATATCGATTTCCTGATGGCGTCCGAAAGCGGGCCCCCATGCATTCACAGTTTGTCAGCCAGAACCGATGTCCCTTGGAGCCCTCACGGTGCGCTAGAACTTAGGCTGCACGGTGCGGGCGAACAGCTCCTCTCCAGTTCCCTCATCTCCGCCCCTTGCCTGCCTCAGGTCCCTCGGCCGTCGACTTGCCATGCGGAGGGATCTAAGGCCAGCAAGGCTCGCGCTCAACAGAAGGAGCGGGTCAAACAGGCACAGGGGCGTCTGCGTAGCGAATGCGACACACTCTTCTCCGATTCGCCCGCCAGGGACAAGTCCGAGGGCCCCGAGATTTTCGTTTCCCAGGGGTCAGAATTTTCAGGTCCACCCAGCCCCGAGGCTGGTAATCCGCTTGGGGATTGTCCCGGGTGGGAGTTCGATCCCGGGGAGCTCGTGGAGTGGGAAGAAGAGGACCCCTGGGCCTCGGAGTCGTGCTTTCACCCAGCCAGCGTCCTTGTGGAGCTCGGCAGCAACAGTCTCGGAAATACCGACCTAGGTAACAATAGTCCTGATTCGGGGCCCGTTTCGAGAGTGGGTGACGCTGGAGTGGGGTCGGGGGATCAGCAGTCCACTTCCGCCGAGCCGCCAGGGGGGGGGACCCCAGCACGGCTGGGGATCAGGATGATCTCACCTGCTCCACTGCCGCTGCCGATGCCGTCCTGCCTCCCTTCGCTCTGCCCCCATCCCTGTGGGCGTCGCACTCGGCTCAAGCCATTTGGCACTCACAGTCTTTATCCGACGTCTGGCGGCCTGTGCAAGACTCCATTGCCTTCGTTGCAGGCCGCCAGCATCTACTACCAGTCAGCAGCTGCTTCGCCCGCTGGATCAGCATCGCAGAGTCGGCCATATCAGAACACCACGGTCTAGCACCACCTCATCGCTCGCGAGGCACAGGAGTGGACGTCGCAGTTGTTCCAGTGAAGCAGGCGCTGCACATTCGGCAACAACCGCTTCGTGACGGGGTAGCGGCCTGGTGGGCGAGAGCTCACGTGAAGCAAGCAGTGCGGCATCGTCGGCGGCGAAACGGTGCCCTGGAACTGCAATCTCTCAGTGCCGCGGCGCAGAGGCTGGCGGACCAGCCATTAGACGGCGCGGGGGCTACTTTCGCAGGAGGACCGACCTGTTCGTGGAAAGGGGCGCTGCGTGGGCTCAGGGGCCTTCTGGAGCAACCCCTCGACGAGCCCGAAGACTTGGAGGAGGTCGCTTTTCGCTCGGCGCGCCGAGCTCAGAACAAGGCAGCATCGGGGTCGTTGCGCAGTTTCCAGGACTGGATCTCCGACTCAGCTGGTGCCGTGCATCTTTCGATCAAAGACCCCATGCCATAACAAGACGAGCTCCACGTGGACGGGTGCGGTCTGGCGCACCCCGTGGCCATCATCGACAAGAAGGTGCAGCGTTGGAATTCGCTGTGGCAGTCCAGCAGTGCATCCTACGAGGACATCCTTCATGCGTGCGGGCTCATCCGCCAGCACGCCCAGGTCGAACAGTTGGAGCCGCTCACGGTCCAGGACCTCAGGCGGGCCCTCGCCGAGATGAAGGCGGGAGCAGGCATGGGCGTGGACAGGCTCTCGCCCACGGACTTCGCCCGTCTGCCCGACGAGGGCCTCCGCGAGCTCTGCGACCTCTACCGCATGGTCGAGGAGGGCTTGACGTGGCCGTGGCAGTTCACGCGCGTGCTGGGTCGACTGCTCGGCAAGAAGTCGGGCGGCGACAGATGCATAGGGCTGCTGCCCATGTTCTGCCGCGTCTGGCCCATGGCCAGGGAGGACCTCGTCCGCGACTGGGTCGCCGACCAGGGCGACTACTGGGACGCGGCCATCGCTGGCAACAGCGCCCTGAGGGAGGCGTTCGTCAGGGCGCTCGAGGACGAGGTGCAGACGGCGCTGCGTCTGCCCCACGGGCAGGCTTTGCTGGACGTCGAGGCCTTCTACGACGGGATCGAGATGGCCTCGCTGGCCCCCTGCGCCCTCAAGGAGGGTTTCCCGCCCACGATGCTGTTTCTAGAAATTCAGATGTTCTTGGCACCGCGGCTGCTGGCTCAGCTAGACGCGGTGTCTCTGCCGCTCCAGACGTCCAAGTCCGTGATCCAGGGGTCGCGGAGCGGCGCCATATTCGCCAAGCGCCTCACGGCGTTCGTGTGCAAGAAGCTTTCGGCCGCTCACCCGACAATGTCAGAGCGCATCTGGGTGGACGACCTGTCGGAGCGCGTCGTGGGGTCCAGGGCGCGCGTGCGGAGCGAGCTGGCCAAGGCCGCGCTCAGCACCGTGCGCGAGTTGGAGAAGCTCAAGTTGAAGATCGCCTCCAAGAGCGCGGTCACGTGCGCTAATCATGGAGACGCGGTGTACATCACCAAGCAGCTCAAGTCCAGGGGCGTGAAGGTGAAGGCCGTCATGCAGGCCCCGTACCTCGGCGTCGACGTCGGCAGCGGGCGCCGGCTGGCCAGAGACACTGCGCGGAAGCGCGTGGTCAAGGCTGGCAGCTCCCACGGCCGCCTGCGGCGATTCGCTCGCGCTGCGCGGCGCTGGGGTGCCACTGCGCAGATCCAGCGTGCTGGCCCGCAGGCGGCGGCGGCTTACGGGCATCAGATCCACGGTTGCTTCGGCAGTGTCATGCTCACGCGCCGTCGGCGCCTCGGGGCCGCGGCGGGCTCCAGCAAGCGCGGGAGGTGTTTAACAACTCTCCTCGCCTTGCGGCTCCCAGGGGCCGACCCAGGGGCAGCCCTCCCGAGGCTTTGTTTGCAGCAGTGGTTTGCGACATGGCTCGGACAACCAGAGCTTCGACGCTCTATCGTTGGAGTTTGGCCTCAAGTCTATCAGGATCCCAGGGGCATCCCCGATGGGGCGACGGGGCAGGCGCGTGAGGGGCCCTATGTCGTCGGTCATGCTTTATTTGGTGCAGGCGGGATGGACAGCGGACTCAGCCACAGCTTGGCAGGTACCGAATGACAGGACGGGGGACGCCCACGCGTGGCACTTCCACGATGAGGCGTTCGTCGGCCTTGACCAGACACAGCCGTTGCTGGGCGAGTTCGAGGCCACCCTCGGTGCTCAACTTTGGAGCGAGGCAGCCCAGCAGTATTGCGGGGCAGGGCTTGAGAGCGGCGCCGACCTTCAGAGCTACAGGCAGTGCATCTCGGCGCTGCTGCAGGCTCATCGTGGACGTCAACTTTCTGAGCTCATGGTCACGATAGCGACAGGTGGTTTCTGGCCGCAGCAGAGGAAGTACGACGAGGAGCTCGCCGACAGCGACCTCTGCCTCCGCTGCCAGGAGGCTACGGATACGCCAGTGCACAGGTGCTGGACCTGCAGCAAAAATCGAGATTCGCCCGCGTTCGCCTTGTCCGACGAGCTGGTTCCAGAAGCGTTAGCTGAGCAGGAAACGTTCCCAGTCTTTTGGGTAAGAGGCATCATCCCTGCTGCTTGGACGGCTGTCTCCCCTCCCCCCTCCTCCGAAGGCTTCCTTGGGAATTCGCTGATTGGAGGCGCTCTCGGGCCAGGGTGCCTCGGGAGCGGGGGCGCAGATTGCCCAGTCATCATTTTCGGAGACGCCTCAGGGGGAAAGCACACCCACGACCCCAGGCTCAGAAGAGTAGGATTGGCCGTTGCAGCTTTTCAGTATTTCTCACCGTGCATCTTAGGGCCTCACTTGACAGGCCCTCTCCCAGGCCCCTCACAGACGGTGCCTCGGGGTGAACTTTTGAGTTTCGAGTGGTCCCTCAGGTTTTCAGGGGGGTGGCTTGTGTATGTCACCGGTTGTGCCGAGGTTGCCCGTGGGTGGTACGACAGAGTGTTCGAGGCACCAGCAGGGCCGCAGGCAGACATCTGGCGAACCATAGGTAGTCTGTTGCGTGCCCAGTCGCGCCCGTCGCACCACGTGTCAGTCCTTCAAGTCCCGTCTCACCTCGAAGGCAGCGATGTTGCGGCCCAAGGCTGGCCATCCTGGCTCATCCAGGGCAACGCTTGCGTAGATGTTCTTGCGGGAAAGGCCGCCACCCAGGCCAGGGCCCCAGAGGCCGAGCGTTTCCGTATTCATGAAACTGAGCGTAAGGCCCGCTTAGTTCGTCGTCGGTTGCTTCGCGTCGCCCTAGAGTCCATATGTGCCTTTCAGGAGCGGGAGGAGGCTCCGAAGGCATCCCGCGCTCGCCTCGCCCCCCCGCCTCCGAAGGCTATAGCACGCTTCGCGTCTGCGCACGCCCTGACCGAAAATGGCAGGTCGTGTTCAGTGTGCCGTAGTTCAGCGACCCTGGCCACCGAGGGTGACTGGTTAAAAAGTGAGTGCTTCTCCCTGCTCCAAGTCAGTTCTAAGTTAGCTCGCCCCCCCCTTGGGCGGAATCCTACCAGCCCTTTGGGCGTGAGTGGTTTAGAGAGCCCGCTCTGTTCTCAACCCCCTTTTTCCCCTTCGGGGAGGGGTTTACCCCTCCCCCTCCCCCCTCCCCCTGGGCCTGGAGAGGGCGTCCCGCGGGTCGTTGGAGGGGTCTTTTTCGACTCCCGGGAGGGCTAAAATTTGACACCCCTCACGAGGATTCTGGCCCCGACGGGGGGGGGAGAAAAGTGCTCGCCCCATCTGTGATCGATCGCCCGAAAGATGGCCCCAAGATGCCTCCCAGACCCCTCCCAAAGAGTCCCAAGAGGCTCCAAGAGGCCTCCAAGAGGCCCCCAATATGCCCCCAATAGGCCCCCAAGAGGCCCCCAAGAGGCCCCAAGAGGCCTCCCGAGGCACCCAAGACGCTCCTGGAAGCTCCTGGGGCCGCCAAGAGGCCCCCAAGACGCCCCAAACGGCCTCCAAGAGGCTCCCAAGAGGCCCGAAGAGGCTCCCCCAAGGCACCCAAGACGCTCCTAGAAGCCCCTGGGGCCGCCAAGAGGCCCCCAACAAGCCCCAAAAGGCCTCCAAGAGGCTCCCAAAAGACATCCCAAAAGACTCCGCGATGCATCCAAGAGGCCTCTGGCCCTTCTGCTCGTCCTCCCCTTCTCGTCCGCCTCCCCCTCTTCCTCCTCCCTCCTCCCCTACCCCACCTCCTCCTCCGATTCCTCCTCCATCCTCCCCTCTTGGGATATGGCGGCATCCCCTGTCCTTCGTTTTTCTGTATGCTCCCACACTTCCCTGATCGAATCAGAGCAACTCCTCTGGGCATCATTGCTGAAAAGATGATCAACAAATCCCGACAGTCGGTACTCTTTGCTAAAGTGGCTGTTTTAGGATGGGCTGGTGGGGATTCGCGAAGCGTGAACAATTTACACTTGGCTGGAGGTTGGACGCACCCCACCCACACCATGCATTTTCACAAAGACCTTGGTCTGTGGTTTTGCGGCTCATGCGGATTTTTCGGTCAGGCCCAGCTCAGAGGGCTCGGGAATCCGTGCCGCCCACAGTTGATTACCAAGGCCAGGCGCGAGTACCTCGATCGTATCTCTCGCGACCTGTTCCCCAAAGCCTGAGCTAGCATGCTTTTATCACTACGTGATGGCGGAAATCCTGGAAATCCCTCCCCCCCCGCGCCCCGTTGATGCCGCGCACCAGAGGCCACTCTTGCCCAGGGTCGCTCCTGCGTGCGGCGCCGAGGACGGGAGAGCGAGAGCGCCTGGGAGCTCCGCGTGGAGGCCGGGCGGCTGGAAGGGCCCCGCCCCCTGGCGTCTGGGGCCCCGAGCTTGAGAGGCGGGGATTTGTCCAGATCCACCGCCTGGGAACCTCACCACCCACCAAACCACCCCAACCCAACCCGAAGGTTCAGATTTACCTTCGATTTCTAGTGTGGGGGGGGTCGGGAAACATCGAAAGAACACATGTGGAACCCTTAACCCTCCCAACCCGAAATTCGGGTCTTCGGGTTGGGTTGGGGTGGTCTGGTAGGTAGTCAGAACCGACGTCCTGGTGCCCCAGCGGGCGGTGGATATGGATATATTTCCGCCCCCGGGGGCCCGAATATGTCCATACCAACCGCCTGCCGAGGCTCCGAAAACTGAGCCTCCCGGCGGTGGATATGGATCAATTCCCGCCTCGGAGAGCTTGCCGCGGAGCTCCCGGCCTCCAGGGACAGTGATCTGGAGCGCCTCGGGGGGCGCGGCGGCCGCCGCGGCCGCATCGCACCGAGCGCGTTCCACTACTCGCAAAGTGCCTACTCGCAAGTGTCCGAACAGCACATGTCCGCTTCGGCGTAATATGTCGCAGATCCTCCGCGGGAGATCCAGGCCACTTGCGAGAGTAGTTACTCTGCGAGTCGTGGAACGCGCTCGTCGAGCATCGCGGCGGCACCTTCCGTGCGGAAGGTGCGGAGGGTGCAGCAAGCCTTTCACTAGCTGTGAGGTCGGGGGGCACGGTTTCTGCTGAGCGCTCGGTGATGAGCCTGTCTTCCACCACCACAACCACCATAAGTTGGAGGGGGAGGGGGTCATCCTCCTCCACCACCTCCTCCTCCTGCTCCTCCTCCTCCTCCTTTTCGTTCTCCTCCCCCTCGTTCTCCTCCTCCTCCTCCTCCTCCTCCTCCTCCTCCTTCCCCTCCAACTTATGATGGTGGTGGTGGTGGTGGTGGTGGTGGGAAACAGGCCCATCACTCGGAGGTGCCGGGCGAGTGCCCGGTGCTGGAGGTCTCGGAGGCGCAGGTCTGCGTGGCCTCTCCGGGCGGGCGGCCCCTGCTCCGCGTGCCGCTGCCCCGCGGCTCGTGGGGCCCGCCCGCCAACAAGTGGTCACGGAGGCGCGGGCTGCTCACATTCTAGGGCTCCTAGATGGGGTCCGAGTAGATGGTCTGAACGCCCGAAATGGGTACGGAAAAAATGGGTACGATGCCCAACAGCAGTTCTTGTTCATTCTGAACAGGACTCGCTCTCCACGCCGCCGCGGCCTGTGCCCATTCGAGACAGAAGGCCGCCTGCCCAACAGCGGCCGCTGTTGGTTTGGGACAACATTTGTTGTCGGGCATTGTACCCATTCTTTCCGTACCCATTTCGGGCGTCCAAAGATGGGGTCCAGGGATCGCGCCGCATCGCCGGTGCCTCGGCGATGTGGCTCGATGTGGAGCCCGATTTGCTTCAAGTCGACTTCGCCGATGCATCGCCGGCGTCGCCAGTGCATCGCCAGCCAGTGCATCGCCGATGCATCGCCGATGCATCCCCGATGTGTCGGGGATGGGGCGCGATCCTCTGACCCCGTCTACTCCGACCCCATCTAGGAGGCCTCTGCACATCGGGGGAACAACAAACGGCATAAGCATGAATTTTCGGAGGTCCGCGCGAGTCTCTTGGGTCGGCGCCGGGGCATCTTAGCGGCGCCTCCGGCGCTCACCTGGCGCGCTTTTCCCGCGCCAGGGGAGGGGGGGTCCAGCGCCGACCTCGGAATCTGCGCGGACTTCCAGCAGTTTAGGTTTGTGTCGTTGCCTGTTCTTCTGCGCATCCGCCTTCCAGCCTTTGCAGCTCTCGGCTCGGGGCGCCGACTCCGATTCAGCTGCGCTGCTGGCGGCTCGGCTGACCGAGCGCGGCTGGGGGTTCAGCAGGGGTTCAGGACCCCGTGGCCGCGGGAGCGACGGGGGGGGTGTCGCAGACTCTGCCCTCCCCTGCCGCCGACGCACCCCCTCCCGCCCTCCCTCTCTCCCTCCTTGTACCACTGCTCCCCCTACGTCTGCTCCTGCTGATGCTCCTGCTGTTGCTGTTCCTCCTCCTCCTTCTCCTCCTCCTCTCCCTCCTCTTCTTCTTCTTCCTCCTCCTCCTCCTCCTCCTCCTCCTCCTCGTCTTCCTCCACTTCCCACAGGGGGTGAAATGGCTTCCGCGAGGCCGCGGGTGGGAAAAAGGAGCAGGGGACAGGGCGCATGGGGGGGAGGAGGCAGCGGCGGGGAGGAGGCAGCGGCAGCAGCAGGAGGAGGGAGGGAGGGAGGAGGCAGCGGCGGGGAGGGGCCCAGGCGATGGGCCGACGAGGCCCGCGCGAGGCGCGGCGCGCGGGGCAGGGCGGGGCGGGGCGGGGTGGGGTGGGGCCAGGCGGGGGGGCGGGGGGCCTTCGGGGGCGGGGGATGGGGGGCCGCCCTTCCCGCGGCCGTGGGCTCGGCGAGCCTGGGCGTCGACGCCTTCCTGTCCGGCCCGGAGGCCGATGCGCTGCGGGGCTGCGTCCTGCAGCTGCGGCAGTCTGGCCGCCTGCGGGTGGGGAGCAACGGGCACGAAGGCGCCGCCCGTCTCGGCCTCCCGGCCTCTGCTTCCTGCTCCTCCCTTCGATACCTCCTCGTTGTCGTCGTCCTCCTCCTCCTTCTCCTCCTGTCGCTGTCGCTGCTGGCATCAGAATCCCCAGGGATGCTGCCCTCCCCCACCTCAGGGGCGGTCGCCCCTGGGGGAGGGGGGGTGGCCGAAGAACTCAGAACTCGGAACTCGTTAGAAACGCCGAAGGTTCAGTCCTTCTTCCACAGGCCACAGGGACCGCAAGCGCGCCTCCAAGGGCGCCCGCGCGAGCGCCTCGATAGGTGACAGCATTGGTTTAAGCGAGTTTCTTTTGCCCGACGAGTCGGGTGTCGCAGCGCCCAAGACGGCCTTGGAGGCCCCCAAATCGCGCGTTCGATGTGCTTTCGCGCAACAGGGCCCCAGACGAACCGAAAGGGCTCCAAGGCATCCAGACGGCCCCAGAGGGCCCGAGAGAGTTGCACATCGAGTATCGGCCACGAGTGCAGTGCGTCTTCTCAGTATTTGGCCACATAGGCGTATCTCAGTGGCAGGGGACGTCGGAGACTCGCCGCAGGCGTCCTCGATGCCCTGCCTTCTGATCCTCATCGTCCTTCTCCTCACCTTTCCCTCATCCTCCCGCATTCTCACCCCGCGTTCTCCAGAGAGTGCATCAGGCCCCAAGATGGCCCTGTGATGATCCAAAGAGGCCACAAGAGGCTTTAATATAGATGCGTGGAGCACCCACGAGGTCCTCCCCAGGGGCTCACGGAGGCTCCAAGAGCACCCAGGAAGACTCTCGGGCCCCCATCATGTCCCAAAAGGGCTGCACGACGTTTCCAAGAGAGCCCAAGAGTGGCGGCAGTGAATGAGGTGAAGAACGCATTCGTTAGCGGACACCTTCTGCCGAGTTGGAATCCACTGCCCCTCTGTTATGAAGCCGTTGTATAGGAGAGGGATCAGAGGACAGAGTGTTTACACAGTTTTGAGGAATTAGTGAATTCAGTATGGGTCCGGCTTGAAGTGCCTCGAAGAAAGCGCGCGCACCCGAATCGCAGACATATGGCTATATGCGGACCCAGGACACTTTGCTTCCCGTCGTCGTCCTCGCCCTTGCTCCGTTCCCCTTCCTTTCCTCCCTCCCCTGGATGGTGTCGAAAGCGTCCGCGGTTCGGGCGGGGGAGAGCCCCTTCCCACCTCCCTCATTATTCCTCGTTCCTCTTTGCCCCCCTGCTCCACCATCCGTCGTCCTACCTCGCCCACCCTCCTTGTTCGAAAAGTGAAGTCCCTGGCGCCGCGTGCCCGCGTCAGCGGTAAATGCTTTTTCGATATCCGAACACAGCGGCGCAACCAAACAGAGGGGATTGCCAATGCGAGATTTCGGGGCGCACCCAAAATGCGGGCGGCACGGCCGCCGAACACAGTCGCATCGCTAATATGTAAATTATACGTACCTGCGGCGAGGTCCGCCCCCCTTGCCAGAGCAGTGATCTATATGGCGACGCGTGGAGCTTTGACTGTTAAGAGGTCCTTGACATGTGACATCTCTCGTGTTTTCGGACTGCTGCGCGGCATTCTCTGGGTTCCTTCGAGGCCTTTTGGGACGTCTTCGGGCCGTTGGGGGCCGCTTTGGCGCCGCGTTGCACCGCGGCCGCCCTGGGCCAGGGAAGCGTGTATGTGCGGCTCTCTCGGGGGCGCCCTGGGCCGGGGAAGTGTGTATTTGCATTCCCCCCCAGCTGGGCATGTCGACCTCGGTTCTGGGTTGGCAAAGTCGGGGCGCCCTCGAGGTGGCGAGCGTTCACCTTTTCGAAATACACAGATCAAGGTGTGATCTGTGTACACAGTTTGTGTCTTCAACTGTGTATTTTCGTGTGTGGGCCCGCTGTTTACACAGATCGTGGTGTGATCTGTGTACACAGATCTCGTTCCCATCTGTGTATTTGGAGTGTGCCCCTCGCGGGTGGTGTTGAATGGGCGGGAACTTTCGCGTTTCTCTTCCGGCTGGTCCAGGGGTGGCGTCGTGCGCGGTCGAAATACGCAGTTCGTGTCTCCAACTGTGCATTTGTTGCGCGCCTCTCGCTGGAGTGGTCACTGGGCGGGAGTTTCCGCGGGTCTCCCGGCTGGTCCAGGAGGGGGCCGTGGTCTGGGCATGCAAAGGCGCGGGGGGGTGGGGATGGTGGGCTGTGGGAAGGAAGGGGTTCGATAGGAGGGGTGACCGAGGGGCCAAGGATGAACGGGGCTGGACGACAGCGGAGGAAGAGAGCCCAGGAGGATTTGCATCATCGGCGTCAGCATCACGAGGGCGAGGGAGGTGGGGGAGGGCAGCAGTTGGGGGCGTGATGTGCACTAGGGCGTAGAGGATGGGAGGAGGGCAGGCATGTGGACGATGGGGGAACGAATCCGGCGCAGGAGGACGACGAGGAACGACGGGAATTGACACATGGGGGGGGCAGTGTAGATGAAGGGCATGATGAGGACCGGGGCAATCGGAGGGGCATGAGGAGGGTGGGGCCGCAGCGAAGGGATATTTGGAAAAGGCGGGGGATGGGGCGTGAGTTCGAGGCGGGCGCCAGCTAACGATTAGCTGAACAGTGTTTTGCGTGTCCGCGCACCCCCAGAGCACAGTGACTGGTTGCAGAACTTCATGATCTGGGTAATCGTGCGCTTCGCGCTTCCAGGCCAAAGGCTCGAGTCCGCGACGCCCGTTGGCGTCGCGATGATGCCGCCCCGATCTGCCAAGCCGTATATGCACAGATACGCAAATATGTGTTGCAACGTTTGCTTCATGACCCTCTCTATATTAACAGACCCACGTTGGAACCCAACTGCCGAGCAACCGTTGGCGATTGGCACTTAGCATGCACATGCAAGTTAGCTTGCGCGCTGTCTTTCGGTTGCGTGGTCGTCTGAGACTTCAGGCTGCCCACGAGGTACTTATACAGCACGATGCATCCCCCACATCGCCTCACAGTCGGCGGAGGTCTGGCGCTCGCGGCCCATTGTTGGCGTCTTGTTAAATAAAATAATGTTTTTTTTGCGACCCGCGAATCACCGCGAATGACGAGTCAGTACCCTCCTGCAGATAGGGCGCTCGTGGAGCGCTACAAAGGCAAGCCAGGATGGATAGAGATGGGTCGATAAGTTTGACGAGGAGGGTTATGCGCATAATGATTTACCACGTTTCCGTATTCTGTTTGTTCCGGAGTTGGTTGTTCGGGGTTGGCCGCAAATTTGGAAAGCAGGCCCCACGCGGCGCGTGGAGTGTTCGACGAAGGTCGGGCGTACACAGGTGCCCTTGTTTCCGGTGCTTTCACTTTTTGAGACTATTCGATTCTTCTCTCCCCTCCACGTGTGCCGTTGCACCGTGCGCCCGCAAATGGGTGGAACATGCTGGAGCATAAGCGCGCGCGAAGTGCGCGCGTGGTTCTAGTATATTCAAACACATACACATGCATGTGTATGTGTATATGTGTATATACATACATTATTTACCCATATCAGATCCTGTTCGGCCTCCCCACCACCTGGCGAGTCTCATCTACGCTTATGCTGTGCGTGCCCGCCAGTCCCAAGCTCGATCATTCAGACTTGGGTCATCCTCGCTAGCGCCCGCTCAACAAGTCTGACCATCGCCTGACACTGTGTGGCTTCATGGCTTGGGCTCATTTCAGCCGTGCCACATCGGTTGCTAATTTTGCTAATTTTGTTTGTCTAACCTGGTTTGGCCCACTTGTTGCGCCACTTGTTGCTTCGCATCTCCTGGCAACAACCGGGGTCTCGGCTCTGGATTCGAGCTTTACTCACCTTCAAGGACTTCTACGTCCTTCTGCTGTGTACGCTCGTGCTCCGGCACGCACGTTCAAGCACTTCATGTTCTGAGAGCGCTCCTCGCTCCTTTCGAGCGTTTTTTTCGTGTTTTGTTATTTTCTGTTTTTTTTCTCGTTTGTTGATATAGTTGTTGCAGCTCACAATGCAGAGCGGGCGTGTGTTGCTAGGCTTGTAGGAATCCCTCGCTTGCAGACAACTCAGACAACGCAGCGCCGCACCGCCGTGCCCATACACCCAGCCCGCCACCAGGGGACAGCGCCGCAGGGTACGTGCTGCAAGGGGCGGGCACCAGGGGGCGAGGCCAGCCCCGCCTGGTATGTGCCATCGGCGAGCGCACTTCGGATGAAGTCGAGCACGTCTTTCTGCAGGAGGAATGTTCCAAAACAGTCAACAGTAGTCTGGGTGCGATGTTCCGGCAATTGTTGGCCAACGTGAATACTTGGTATGTTTTTTATATGTCTTCCAACATCCGCCTGTAGGAGGACATGCCCGACGTAAACTTAGAACACCCACCCCGCGCGCGACCGCCTCCTGGCAGCTTGGGGTCCCCAGCGCCCAGCTTCGTGCCACGGCGTAGCTCGAAGCGAGGCGTTGTGCTGCGCACGTTCCGGAAGGGGTGGCGCAGCGCAGGGCGGAATGTGCATCATGTCGGCGCAGGCGATGAAGGGCACACGTCAAAGCTTACCACGCGGCATCTGGCCCCCGGGGTAAATTCATTTTTCTCCAAAACGAGACAAAAGCGCCGCTCACCTCATCAAGAGCTCCTTCACCACCCACCAAACCACCTCAACCCAACCCGAAGGCTCAGAATTGCCCTCGATTTCCAGTGGGGGGGGGGTCGGGAAACATCGAAAAAACGCGTGTGGAACCCTTACCCCCTCCCCAACCCGAAATTCGGGTCTTCGGGTTGGGTTGGGGTGGTCTGGTAGGTAGTCACTCCTTGCCTGGGGGCACATTCACAGGCGCCCCCGACGCCCATTTCGGTACACCCCTCACGCGTTTCGCGCTCCCACGGGGAGCTCCACCGGTGGCCCTACAGTCGGGGCGCTGAACAAGGAACCCTTTTCGTTGGGGAGGGGCTCCGATGAATAGAAATATAAATATAAGTATATCTATATATACAGATATATATATATATATACATATAAAAATATAAATATAAATATACATTGAAGTATAGATATACTTATAAATGTAAATATCAGTATAAATATACATACAAATATAACTATAATTATACATATCAATAAATTTGCTTGATGTTTCACAGCTTGCCTTAGGTTGCCCTTAGGTTTTCGATGGGGAATCGAAGTTTAACTTACGGAGACAAGGGCCTCGTTCCTTATTTTGGGTTCCTTAGGTCAAGACCCCGACTGTAGTGGGCATGTTCGCTGGAGTCCCCGCCGCCAATTCCGGCGCACCACTCTCACGTTTCGTGGCCCCCCAGAGAGCTCCGTTGATGGTTCCAGTGCGACCGTCCGCATGGCGTCGCCCCACTCTTTTTTCGGCACGCCTCTCACACTTTTTAATGGCTCCAAACGGAGATATCGGGGGCTCCCAAACGGGGTGGTGACCACACCGTGTGGTGAGTCGGTGGGGATTCGGGGTCACCGCACGGTTTAGGGACTTGAGTCGTTCTCCGAGGATGTCTCGGGCGACTGGTGCCTCCAGGGCCCCAAAACCGTGTGGTGACGGACCGTGCGGTGAGGTCTTTGCGGATTTCGAGGTCACCGCCGGGTCTGTCACCACACGGTTTTGGGACACCCAAAGATAGGCCCCAGTGGCAAAGGTCGTATTGCATGCAGTTGCATATGGTTGGGTCCTTCGCCAGGAGAGGTCGGTTCCCACTGATTTGGCCTCTTGGGCCAGCCCCCAGGGAGCGTGGACAGCCATCACTGGGACACATTTAGGCCATGTTGGACAGTTGCCGCAAAACGATCCGGAGGCCCATGGAGAATCCACGCGGGGCGTCCCCGGGGAACGCCCGGCCGCGCCGGGGACTCCCGGCCCCAGCCCCGGGGCAGGGAGTTTTTACAACACACAGAGGTCGGGAGCCTTGAGACGGGGGTCAATGCAAACGGGGGTCAGCCAGAGCGCCAGATCTTGCAGGATCCTGCGAAGACCCCCTCTGGCTGACCCGGGTCAGCGAGCCGCTCGTAGCCGCGAGGCGGCCGCGCACGTTGGCTGACCCGGGTTTTTGCGAAGACCTGCGTTGCAGTTTTTTTTTTCCCTGCATCGCAGTTGTTTGGTTTCCTGCTGACCCTGGTCTGGATTGACCCGGGTCAGAAGATCCCCCATTAAGTCGGGCCTGTCCCCCCACATGGGGATTTTCGACGAAAAATAAAACATACCGCAAAAATAGTCAAACAAAGCAGTCCAGCACAAAACAGTCTGGGGACTATTTTTCGAGCACGCTTTGACCTTTTTGGGGCATTCTGGGTCTGGATTGCAGCTGGTTTCGGCCCCACCGAGGGGCCCATTCCTCGATACAACGCCGTCTCCGGCGCCGGGAGGCGCCGGGAAAAGCAGTTGCGTGAGCTGACGCTCGAGCCCTCCCTTCGCGGCCCCCCCCCTTTCGCCCTCCTGGCAGGCCCTCGTCGCCGAAGAGGACCACCGAAGAGGATTCGAACCCCATTATGTCGGGCCTGTTCCCTTACAGGGGGATTGTCGACGAAAAATATAACATACCGCAAACATAGTCAACCAAAGTAGTCCAACAAAAAAATAGTCTGGGGACTATTTTTCGAGCATGTTTTGACCTTTTTGGGGTATTCTGGGTCTGGATTGCCCCGGGTCAGAAGATCCCCGATGGGAAAGGGGGGGTACGAAATTTGCTGCGTGCAGCTGGTTTCGGCCCCACCGAGGGGCCCATTCCTCGATACAACGCCGTCTCCGGCGCCGGGAGGCGCTGGGAAAATCGGCTGCGTGAGCTGATCCTCGAGCCCCCTCCTTTGCTGTCCCCCCCCTTTCGCCCTCCTGGCAGGCCCTCGTCGCCGAAGAGGATCCCCGAGGAGGATTCGAAGGGGCCCTCCGCCTCCGAGAGCCCACGGCATGGGTGCCGGCGGAGGGCCCGGCCCGCGCTGGCTCCGCGGCAGGTCGCGGCGGCAGATCTGTGTCGGCCCGTGGGCCCGCGCCCCGTCTGTTGTGGCCCGTGTACAGTCGGGGCCCTGAAGAAGGAACCCTTTTCGTTGGGGAGGGGCTCCGCGTTCCTGAAGTGTTTCGCAGCTTGCCTTGGGTCTTCCTTAGGTTTTCGATGGGAGATCGAAGGTTAACTTCTGGAAAAGAGGGGCCTCGTTGCTTATTTTAGGTTCCTTAGGTCAAGGCCCCGACTGCAGGCCGGGCCCAGCCTTCTAAGATACAGTCCATCCGGGAAGCCTTTTTTTCAGGAGGGGAAAAAACACGCAGACACAATGAGTCGTCGATCCCCCGGAAAATGTAGGGAAATATATGGGAAGTGGGGGGGGGGAAGACAGAAACCCAGAAAATATGGGAAAGCATGGGGAATCCTGTTGTTTGTGTGTATGTATTTGTGTTACCTGGGGCCCCTTGCATCCTTTCCTGACAGCCATTCGGGGGCACCCCTTCGTACACTCTTTCTGTCACGTGACGTGAATGGTCCAAGGTGTCCGCCACGGTTCGATGTTTCAGCCATGAAACGATGATACATGTGTGTGTGTGTGTGTGTGTGCCTGCATGTGCGTGTGTGTGTGTGTGTGCGTGTGTGTGTGTGTGCGTGTGTGTGTGTGTGCGTGTGTGTGTGTGTGCGTGTGTGTGTGTGTGTGTGTGTGTGTGTGTGTGTGTTCGTTCTTGTTGGAACCCGACTAGGTTCTACAGCACCAGCTGCCCTTTGTCCTGCATACCTGATGGGTGGCCCTCGCTCCCGCTGTTAAATTGCTAGGCCAGTGGTCCGCAATTGCTTCAGCTTGGCGAACGAACAAAACTGTCCCAAAAGGGGGGGCGCCTTTCGAGCTCCCAGGTGCCACTGGGTACGGAGTGAAGAACGACGAGTACGCCTTCCTCGACCCGGCGGAGGTGAAAGAGGCCTTGGCGAAGCCTTTGCGTGAGTGCGCAGGGCTCTGCAACAGGCTTGTGCTAGCGCTGGTGCGTGCAGTGCCAGCCCTTCAGGGGCTGCGGCTGACAGCTGGCCAGCCTATGGTTGCGGTCTATCCAGGCGACGGCGCTCGATACGGTCGCCACTATGACGCGACTGCTGGCAAGGTGGGTGGAGACAATGGGCGTGTGGTGACCCTGGTGGCGGAGGGCTTGAACCTAAAAGTGGCCTTCGGTGCCGACAGTATCCGCTGGAGCAATCATCAGGGTATTCGTGGGGCAAGTTGGGGACCGCCTGATTGTAATTGCCCCCTGGATCTAGCGCCAGATGGGGGTGCGTGGTGGCGAGCGAGCCGCGTTCGCGCATGCTGCTAGAGAAAGCAGTCTTCTGAACGAGCAGTTCCGTGTTCCATGTAAACAGAATCGGTGTGAAACGGGCGTGATGTGGCTATTGCCGCCAGCATCGCTGCTGTCATCACAGCCGCCTGGTCCCCGAAGCGCCGGTTGCCGCCAGCAGCCTGTACAGTCGGGGCCCTGAGGAAGGAACCCTTTTGGTTGGGGAGGGGCTCCGCGTTCCTTAAGTGTTTCGCAGCTTGCCTTGAGTTTTCCGTAGGTTTTCGATAGGAAATCGAAGTTGAACTTCTGGAAAATAGGGGCCTCGTTCCTTATTTAGGGTTCCTCAGGTCAACGCCCCGACTGTACTCGCCTTCGCCCAGTCCTGCTATCTCTCTTCCATGCTGTCAGATCGGCGGCGGGCCCCGGGGGGGCAGTGAGACGGGGCGGGCCTTCTCAGAATCAGGAGGGGAACAAACACACAGACACAATGAATCGTCGACTCCCAGGAAAATATGGGAAAATATGGGCAGTGGGGGGGGAAGACAACAACCCAGAAAATACGGGAAACTATAGGGGAATCTTGTGATTTGTGTGTATTCATTTGTGTGTCCCAGGGCCCCTTCACAGAAGGCTCGGAAGTCCCCCAGCCTTCTCAGAAGTGTTCCGAGCCTTGCCCGAGGACGCAGCAGCTTCTCAGAAGGCCAGAGGCCTTCTGAGAAGCCCGCCGCCTTCCGAGAATGACGAACGAACAACACACACCCATACCCATAGGGAGGTCGAAGGGAGAAGGACTGGCTATGGGTATGGGTGCGGGTTGTCGGACCCCTGAGGAGGCTCCCGTTCGAGCGGGGACCCCTATCGGACAACACGCACACATAGCTCATTCCGCCTCCCCTATGGGTATGGGTGCGTGTTGATCGTTCGTCAGAGAAGGCCTTCTCCTTCTCACCCCCCCCCCTCTCTCGCCGCTGACCTGAAGCACGAGTTGCCGTCGATGCCCCCCGCTGGCTTCCCATAGCCCATCTGTGCCACGTGGTTGCCCAGACGCCGGCCGCAGCCACGAGAGCCTCCTACCCACACAGCGCTTGCGCTTAGGGGCTCCTGCGTGGGTTCTACATACAGTGGGGGCGCGCATCAAGAAGCCATCTACTTTTCGTCAGGGCACCCTTGGTTTCTTCGCTCCGCGCGATGCGCAGTGACTTCCAGACGGCCCAAGAGAGCTCCCACAGAACCCCACGACGCGCGCAGACAGCCCAAGAAGACCCCAAGAAGACCCAAGGGCCCCCACGAAGCCTGCCCTCGCCCTCCTTTTTCCTTCTTCTTCGCCCAATAGACGCCCATCAGACTACAGCGGCGCTTCCCGTTCTTGTCCGATCAGGTCCTCTATTTCTGGTGTCCGCGCCGCACCCCGAACCTCGCTGGCGGATCCAGACAGCCCAAGAAGACCCCAGAAGCCCATAAGAGGACCCAAGGGGCCCCCAAGAAGCCCCCAACAGGCCCCAAGAGAGCCCCGCGCGGCGCCAGGAGCAACCTCTTTTTCCAATTGCCTCGTACTGTCCTCTGTCGTCGTCGTCGTCGTCATCATCGCCCTCCGCATTCCTCCTCGTACTCGCCCTCGTTCTCTTCGTCCTCGTCCTCGTGCTTCTCTTCCTCCTCGTTGTCCTCATGCTCCTCCTCGCTATCCTCATGTTCGCCACGTCGTCCTCGTCATCGGCTCCTCGTTGTCCTCGCCTTCCTTTTCTTCTTCGCCCAGTACGCCCGTTAGACTACAGCGGCGCTTCCCATTCTTGTCCGATCAGGTTCTGGACAGATGTTCGTTTCGCTCGAGACATCCTCAACAACATCGGCTCCGGAGGGGGCTCCGAAACCACATCATCTTGGAATCGCTCCTGGATGGCTCCAAAACGGCCAAAGAGAGCCCCCGAAGGCCCCCCAGAGGACACCTAGGGCACCCCAAAAGACCCCCAAGAGGCCTCCAAGAGGCGCCCAGAGGTCCCAAGAGACCCCCAAGAGGCACCCCCGGGGCGCTCAGAGGCTTCCAAGAGCGCCCGAAGAGGCCCCGGGACTGCCACAGAGAGCCCCAAGGCAGTCCAAGAGAGTCACAGAAGCCCCCAAGAGGCTCCCAAAAGGTTCCCAACGGGCTCCCAACAGGCCTTCAACAGGCTGCTCAGAGGGCACCAGAGACCGCAAAAGAGCCCCAAGAGCCCTAGACGGCACGCGAAGTCCATCATGTGCTCAGGGCGGCAGATGACGGGAAGCGCCTCTGACGTGCACCGTTCTTATGACTCCACTTTTCTCTGCTCATGGGGTCCGAGCTGCACCCCGCCCCGAGAGAGGCCCAAGACGGCCCAAAAGGGTACCAAGGGACGCCCAGAAAGCAATACTCATTGATTCTCGCACGGATTTTTGCTACACTTCAGTATGTTCGACCAAAGCCTTCACACCAGCACGGCTCTAAAAGGATCACCACGAAGACACGCTTCACAGCACCTGTGTGTTTCATGGGTCGGCGTTGGCGTTCTCCACCATACGTTCTCTGACACGCTAGGTGGACAAAAACGGCGCTTCCCGTTCTTGTCCGGTCAGGTTTTGATTCCAAAGTTTCGGGCTCACATCTGTCGAGTATGGTTGCCGCCGCTTCTGTATCTCAGCCACGTGCGGAGGGGTGGGAGGAGGGGGGATGGCTTCCTAGAAGCACCCTTGCTTCTTAGCGGGCGCGGGCCTTGTGTATAGACGTGAGGCCGGCGCCTTCTCAGAGGCAGCTACCTTCCAAGAAGCCCTCCCTCCCCCCTCTGCCCCCCTGCGCGCGCCGCCAGGTGCTGTTACTCCTCGCAGCGCCCAGCGCCGCAACACGCATGGCATCTCTCCAGGGGGCCTCCCTCCCCCCCTCCCCGCCCAGGCCCCGGTGTCTCGAGCTCTCGGGCGCCCCTCCGAGGAGGAGGAGGAGGAGGAGGAGGAGGAGGAGGAGGCGGAGGCGGAGGAGGCGGAGGCGGAGGCGGAGGAGAAGGAGGAGGAGGAGAGGAGGAGGAGGGGAGGAGGAGGAGGAGGGAGGAGAGGAGGAGGAGGGGGAGGAGGGGGAGCGGACGAGGAGGAGGAGGAGGAGGAGGAGGAGGGAGGAGGAGGAGGAGCAAGAGGAGGAGCAAGAGGAGGAGGAGGAGGAGGAGGAGGAGGAGGAGGAGGAGGAGGAGGAGGAGGAGGAGGAGGAGGAGGAGGAGGAGGAGGAGAGGAGGAGATGAGGAGGAGGGAGGAGGGAGGAGGGGGAGGGAGGAGGAGGAGGGAGGAGGAGGGAGGGAGGAGGGAGGAGGGAGGAGGAGAGGAGGAGGAGGAGGGGGAGAGGGGAGGAGGAGGAGGAGGAGGAGGAGGAGGAGGAGGAGGAGGAGGAGGAGAGGAGGAGGAGGAGGAGGAGGAGGAGGAGGAGGAGGGGGAGGAGGAGGAGGAGGCAGTCTGGCGCTCTTGGCTCGGGCAGCGCCCCCCCCGCGGCTGCCCAGGTGGTCTACCTGAACCCGTTCTGGAGGGAGGAGGACGGCGGGGCTCTCCGCATCTTCGAGCCGGAGGGCGTGTCCGAGCAGGAGCCGCCCGGGGGGCGAGCGAAGAACGACATCTTGGCATCGCTCGGACGTGTGCATTTTTCCTAGGCGAGGACCGTTGAGGAGCATTGTGGGTCACCTTGCGAAAACATGCACGCGCGAGATCGACAAGTGCACAGGGGATGGACGTCCGAGCGGTGGCGAGACATAAGCATGCAAGCTCGGAGGTCCGTGCGGATTTCTCGGATCGGCGCTGGACCCCCCTCCCCGGCGCGCGGGCCGCGCCAGGGGCAGCGCCAGAGGCGCCGCCGGGGGGTTCGGCGCCGATCCGAGCAAGCCGCGCGGGCCGCAGAATTTTTATGTTCATGTCATGCTTCGTTCCCCTATCGGGAGAGCGTAAGACCCGGGTTTGCCAGGACTCGGGTTCGCCATCGTTTTTTGACGACCGCGCCTCGGATTTTGACGAGGAGGAGTTTCGTTGGATGTCTGCAGCGGGAGGCCTCGTCAAAATGCAGGCTCGGCCTCGTCATTTTTTGACGACCTCGTCGGGGATTTCCGAGTCCCCTGTACCCAGGTCTTACGTCCCCCTGACCCTAGCTCGAAGGGGGGGGGGCAGTGGAAGGGCAGGGGAGAGCTTGCTGTCCGAGCGCCCCGGGGCAGCGCGGGCATCCGCGCGGAGGCGGCCACCCACTGGGAGAGGAGCTCCCGCGTGCTCCTCCTCCCCGGGCCTGCCAGGGTCCCCCGGGGGGGGGCGGCCGAGCCACAGTGGCGGGGGGAGGGCAGGCGGGATCGGCTGCTCGTGAGAGCGGCCCTTCGCCGGGGGGGCCCTGGGGTTCGGGCCGGGCGAAAGGGGGGATTGGGAAAGGGGGGGTTACGAAATTTGCTGCATGTAGCTGGTTTCGGCCTCACCGAGGGGCCCATTCCTCGATACATAGCCGCCTCCGGCGCCGGGAGGCGCCGGGAAAATCAGCTACGTGAGCTGATTCTCAACCCCCCCCTTTGCTATCTCCCCCTTTCGCCCGACCCGAGGGGTGGGGGCCGACAGCGGCCCCCCCCCGCACTCGCTTGCGCGGTTGGCTTCGGCACCCCCGCGGCCCCCTGAAACCGCGCACCCAAGGCTGTGTGTGTGTGTGTGAAGTCCGCTCGCTTCCCTATCACGTCCCTTCCGAAACTGTGCTGGCTCAGGTATTGGTGCGCTGACTTGGTGCACTGCTCGCTGCGCAGTGCCCAGGAAGACAAGCTCTACCAACGGACCCCATACAGGAACGGCCCCTCGGCCGTCTCCCTGTATACAAAGGTCACTCCTGCCCAGGGTCACTCTGGCGTGTAGGCGACGGGAGAAGGAGATGGGGCGGGATGGTGTGTGTGTGTGTGTGCGGGTGGAGAGGTGGTGAGCGACTGCGCCAGTGGGCCGCCTCACCACCGCGCGTTCTCTGTGGTCAGCGGAGGCCCCCCCCCTGACACGCGGGGCGCTCCGTGGGAGGTGGGAGGTGTGGACCGTGGCGCCCCCGCGGAGACCAGACTCGTGTTCTGGCTCGAGGGAGCTCTTTTCAGTGGCAACGTTAGGGGGGGACTGGCTGAGGGGTCATGCATCGACCCCCAGTCGCCCATTCATCGCCGATAGGGGCCCGACAGCCCGCCTCGGCCAGGAGCGTTTTCGTATTTGTTATCGGGGGCCGAACGCTGATTGACCAACGATGTGTTGCCGAGAACGGCATACAAATAAACTTTTGGCGCCCCGCGCGAATTTCTTGGATCCGCGCTGGGCCTCCTTGGCGGCGCCTCCGGCGCCGCCCCTTGCGCGCTCCGCGCGCCAGGGAGGGGGGCCCAGCGCAGATTCAAGAAATCTGCGCGGAGCGCCCAAAGTTTATTTTGATGTCGTTTTTTCTTGTTCTACGTGGGTGCCCCACTTGCCCCACGGGGATCGAGAAACTTCGGGGGGGACTTCCGCCGGGCCGGTCCAGGAGCGACAGGGGAAAATGGGGCAGATGGATTTCTGCTGAGAGAAGCGGGATGCACATGGAGACAACAATAGTGATCGGGCATGCTCTCAGGCAGACTACCAACGTCATTCTCGCTACCTGTAATGCTGCCGCAGCTGTTTGTTGAGTCAGTATGCCATTGCTCATTACAAATGCCATACATCAGCCTCTCTTGTGCCCAATTACCGTCAACCATGATAGTAAGGATGGGGCAACTTGGCCAGGGTACCCGTGCATCCTTGCCCCTTCGGCGCATCCTTGCCAACTTTCGCTGGCCAGCCCTTCAGGGTACCCTGGCCTCCTTCGATTGCGCGGCATGACGCCCCTGGGGGCCAATTCTGACAGATGCTGGATTGGCAGGGTGCCCTTGGCCATCCTCGGGTCCGGTGTCGCCATTCTTACATTCAAGGGGCCGCGGCCCCAAGGACGCGCGACGCCCTTGCGCATCCTTGCCACCACCACGTGCGCACCGTCGCGCATCTGGCGAACAACGCTTGAAAGCGCGGGGAAGGGATGGCTACCTGGCGCATCCTTGCCACCGAGGTAGGCGCTGCCAGTATATGCCCATGACGGTGGCGCCGTGCCCCCAGGGACGTGCGACTCCCAAAGCGTACCCTTGCATCCTTGCGTTGTCCTTGCTTTTGGCCCAGGCGCCAGTTTGGCAAGGATGGCGGCGCGTCAGGGTACCCCTGCATCCTTCGGAATTCGGCCGCGCTCCGCGCGGAAAACCTCAACATGGCGTTCCAAGGTCCTTGCATTCTTACCGCGCATCCTTCTTATCCTGGTGGACTGTACTTCGTACTTGCCCTGGGGCCTCCTGGCCGAGGATGCCCCGGTCGTGCAGCCCCTGCACGGGCGTCTCGTCGGCTTCCTGTGCAAGGACCGCTGCCCGCACGAGGTGTCGCTGTGCTGATCTGCTGCTGCTGCTGCTGCTGCTGCTGCTGCTGCTGCTGCTACTGCTGCTGCTGCGCGTTGCCCTGGGACCCAGTCCTCTGCCATGTCCGCGGTCTGAGTGTTCCTCTGCCTCTGCCTCTTCATTTCTCCCTTTTCCTTTCTATACCCCCCCCCAGACACATTGAACACGCCAGGCCTGTCAGGTTCATAGCCTGCGCTGCCCGCACGAGGTGTCGCTGTGCTGATCTGCTGCTGCTGCTGCTGCTGCTGCTGCTGCTGCGCGTTGCCCTGGGACCCAGTCCTCTGCCATGTCCGCGGTCTGAGTGTTCCTCTGCCTCTGCCTCTTCATGCCTGTCCTTCTCCCTTTTCCTTTCTATACCCCCCCCCCAGACACATTGAACACGCCGGGCCTGTCAGGTTCATAGCCTGCGCTGCTAGAGCCCTCTTTATTCCTCTTCTGGGTCCCACGCCTGTTGCAGCATGCAGCGTGGGCACACTCCAACAGCAGTCAACACGCTGAAAGAAGTACCACTTTGGGTTCGGGATGGGGCTCTGGCTTTTGGGCCGTTCCTTAGATCTACGTCATGGAATCTATTCGTGACTGAGGCTCGCCGTGGCCAGAAAAAAGCCCATCCGTTCCTTCATCAGCCTTGTGATTGTAGCACGCTGGCTGTAGCGGGGCTCAGTCCACCCTGCAGCTCAGCTCTCCTGGGGGGGGGGGGAACGCAGGAGGAGGAGGAGGAGGAGGAGAAGGAGGAGGAGGAGGAGGAGGAGGAGGAGGAGGGAGATGGGAGGAGGGGAGCGGAGGAGGAGGAGGAGGAGGAGGAGGAGGAGGAGGAGGAGGAGGAGGAGGAGGAGGAGGAGGAAGAAGAGAAGGAGGAGAAGGAGGAGGAGGATGAGGAGGGGGAGGAGGACGAGGATGAGGAGGAGGAGGAGGAGCCCCGCCCCTCAGGCGCTCTTGCTCGTGTTCCTGCCGCCTGCTCCTCCTGCTCCCCGGCTCCTCCCGCCTGCGCCTCGGATGTCCTGACCGCTGCCCTCCGGGCCAGAAGGCTCGTGGCAGAGAGCCGCCGGCACAGGACCGCCGAACCGGACCCTCCAGCCTGGCCCTCTCTCTAACCGAGCTCGTTCCACTACTTGCAGAAGCGCCTCCACGCAAACGCCCGACAGGCGCATGCTCGCCTGGACGCGCCAGATCGTAGACCACCCGCGGCGGATCCAGGCCGTTTGCGAGCAGTTGCTTTGCGAATCGTGGGCCGCGCTTGTCTACTCTCCTTTGCCCCAGAGGGGGGGGGCCCAGAGGGGCCCTTCATGGCTCCCTCTGGAGCAAGCAGGGGCCCCCAAGAGGCCCTGAAGGGCCCCTCCAGGGCCCTTTTCTTCACCCCTCCCATGTAGGTCACCCCCCACTACCACCCGCCCGATCTCCTTCGTGCGGGATGGGGTCGGAGCAAATGGGGTGGCAGAGCCGCGCCGCATCGCCAGAGCACCGGCGATGCGGCTCGATGTGGAGCTCGATTTTCTCCACGCCGACGGCGCCGGTGCATCGCCGACGTCGATGTGGCGCGATCCTCCGAGCCCATCTGTTCGGACCCCGTGCGTGCCGACAGGGGTCCCCCCAAGCACTGGCCTGAGGCGGCTTGCCCGCGTGGATTCGGCACCCCTGTGGCCCCCGAGAGGAGCGGGCCGAAGGGCGCTCTTGCCCAGGGTCTCCCTCACGTGTAGCCGACTCCTGGCCGCAGCTCGAGCCACGGATGACCGTGTCGCGCGACTGCAGCCGCCAGCGCTGCGAGTCTCCTGGCCAGGCTCGGCGGCCCTGGACCCAGACCCCCGCCGTTGTGATTTTTCACAGCGTCGACCGTCAGAGCCGTCCCTTGACGGTCCCGAGGCCCGGGAAGGGCTCCTGTACATATATTCTACATACATACATACATACATACATACAGACAGACAGACAGACAGACAGACAGACAGACAGACAGACAGCCAGCCATACATACATACATACATACATACATTCATACATGCATGCGTACATACATGCATACATACATACATACACACATACACACACGTATATGTATGCGTGCATACATACACACATACACACATACTTACATACATACATTCATTCATACATGCATGCGTACACACATTCACACACATGCAAACCTACACACATACGCACATGCATGCATGCATGCATACACACATACATACATACAAGTATGCACATATGCATACATACCTATATCTATACATCCATCCATACATACATACATACATACATACACACATGCATACATCAATCCACCCACACATACAAACATACATACATACGTACATAGATACACACATACATACACACACATACAAACATACATACATACATACAAACGTACGTACACTTATACATACAAACATGCATGCATACATACATACACACATACATACATACATACATACATCCATACATACGTGCATACATACATACATCCATACACACATACACACATTCATACATACATACATACATACATACATACATACATACATACATACATACATACATACACACATACATACACACATACATACATACATACACACATACATGCATGCATACACACATACAGCCAAACACACATACATACATACACACACATCCATACATATATACACATACATACACACATATACACATACACACACATGCATACACGCATACATACACACATACATACATACATACACACATACATACATACATACATACATGCATACATACATACATACATACATACATACATACATACATTCACACATACATACATGCATGCATGCATGCATACATACATGCACACATACATACACACATACATACGCACATACATACACACACATACATACATACATACATACATACATGCATGCATGCATGCATGCATGCATGCATACATACATACATACATACACACATAGGCTGGCAATAGCGAAGAGCCTCCCGTCGTGTTCTTTTCACAGTTCGAAGGGGTCTGGGGACGCCGCCCCGGCTGCCGCCAGCTCTCGGAGCCCTCCGCAGTGCAAGGCCGCGCCTTTGGTCTGCGGCCCCCAGGTGCTCCCCTCCAGGGCGGACCGTGCCGCGGTGACCTTCTGGTACTGGGCTGGCCTCCGGCCAGTGCCGCCGATCCGCGGGGGGTGAGAGCGAGATCCCCAGGATCCCGGGCCCTCTTCCATTGTCTAGGGGGCCTCTGGGGCTTGGCTCTGCGGCCCCAAAGGTGCTCCCCTCCCGGGCGGACCGTGCCGCGGTGACCTTCTGGTACTACGACGGGGATCGGCTGGCGGAGCGCTGCCGCGATGTGGGCGCCGACGGCGAAGGGCTGCGCGGCTTTGGCTTCGAGATGGGCTGAGAAGGCCGCCGAGCCGGCGCTGGCCCACCTGCAGCGCCTGCCGAATGGGGCGCAGCATCGGGCATTCGATGGTGTGCCTACAGCGGTCGAGTAGGAGATCGACTACAGAATTGATGTACCCCAGAATTGATTTGTCAGTCGCATTTGCGACAAATGCTAAGACTGTTCCGTAGATTGACGAGCTTTCTACGTACTTGTTCGTCGATTCGACGAGAAAATCAAGTTTGGTGCGAATCAATTCTGTAGTCGATCTCCTACTCGAAACGGAGCGGGTGCCCCACTTCCCTTTGCGCTGGCCCTCCCACCTCTGAGTGCGCTTCCTCCCGTGGGTCTGCCCGCTGCTCGGAGAACCTGCCTGGATGGTGCCCAGCAGCGGCCTGATGTCAGGAGGGAAAAAACACACAGTCACAATGAATCGTTCACTCTCAAGGAAAATATGGGAACATATGGGAAGTGGGGGGGAAGACAAGAATCCAGAACATATGGAAACTATGGGGAATCCTGTTATTTGTGTCGATGTACTTGTGTGTCCCAGGGCCCCTTTAATGGTCCCCAGCAGCGGCCTGATGGCCCGCACCGAGCCTGGCCGGGAGGAGGCGGCATCGAGGAGGGGAAGCGCCAAGCAGGGATGAGCAGGAGTTGAGGCTTCTCATGGCGAGCGGCCCTGGAAGGGGAGTGCCCTGGTCACCTGCATTTTTCTGCGGGGGCGTGCCTGGGGCCGTCTCCGGCACTGGAGGCACCCAGTGCCCAGGGCTTCGCCCGAGGCTACCAGGGTCACCGAGCACGTCCCACGACTTCCAGAGTGCCCACACATTGCTCGTTGCTAATTCTTCGAGGGTTCTTTGATTTTTTTGGGGGGGGGCCAATATGCTTTCGTTTCTGATTCTTCTATCCTGGGCCTCTTCCTGGCCACTGGGGGGCCAGGAACAATTCGAAGCGAGCACAGTTAGAAATGAGCACGACTAGAAATGAACGACGTGTACTCGCAGACGTCCGAAAGGCACACGTCTGCTCCGGTGCAATGTATCGTAGATTCCCCACGGCGGAGACCCTTTGCGAGCAGCTACTCCGCGAGCAGTGGGAGACGCGCTCGCCTGCAGGAGGCCGCCAGGGTAGCCCCCGAGGGGGCCCCGGGAGGCCCCTTGCGTCCAAGAGGGCCCAAGGGGGCCCCGTGGCGGGAACGAAAGACGTCTGGCGCCCGCCCTCCTGTGGCTCCTCTGTAGGGGAGCAAAAAGTGACATGAACATAACAACTCGGAGGTCCGCGCGGACCTCCGAGTTTTTATGTTTATGCCACTTTTTGTTCCCCTGAAAAGAACCCCGTTGCGGGCACGAGAGAGGCCACAGGAGGAGCCCCGGGAGGGCCGGCGCCAGACGTCTTCGGGCCTCCTGGACGGGGTCGGAGCAGATGGGGGTCGGAGGAGCGCGCCGCAGCGCCGATGCATCGCCGATGCGGCTCGATGAGGGGCCCGATGTGCTTCACGTCGATGTCGCCGATGCATCGCCGACGTCGACGATGCATCGCCGGCGCATCACCGATGCATCGTCGATGCATCGCCGATGCGGCGCGCTCCTCCGACCCCTTCTACTCCGATCCCATCTACGAGGCCTCTGAGACGGCAAACACCATTGTCCATGGTACGACGTTTGATGATGGGGTAAGCGCGACTCGATCGCCGTTTGCATCTGAGATGGGGGAGCAAAGAATGGCATAAACCTGAAAACTCGAGTGTCCGCTCGGATTTCTCGGATCGGTGCTGGACCCCCGAACCCCCCTCTCTGGCGCGCGGAGCGCGCCAGGGGCGGCGCCTCCGGCGCCGCCAGGGGGCCCCAGCGCCGATCCGAGGAATCCGCGCGGACCTCCGAGTTGTTGTGTTCTTGTGATTGCTTGCCCTCCTATATGAAGCAGGGGGGCCTCGCGCCCGACAGCAAAGGTCGAACCACGTGGCTATGTGGATCGCGCGGACGAGCCAGTCGGTTGTGGGCTGCGGGAGGCCGAGCGGGTGAAGGCAAGCGCGGTGCGGAGAAAGTTTCGGGGGGGCGCCATTTGCGACCAGCCGCTGGCCTGGCAGACTTCTCCACTGGGCGGAGGGGCTTGGAGCTCAAGCCTCCAATGCATCCCTAGCGGGTAGCAAGAGTTCGAATGACGCACGCAGTCAATCGGCGGCGAAATCCGAACCTCCTTCTCGCCGATCAACGTTTCAGGCGGGCGGCGGGGGTTAGGGCTCGGCATTCGTGGAGCACTTGGCGCAGTCCGAACCCTACCCCCGCTTCAGATCGATTCAGATGAATCGATGGTCGGCGGGGGTTAGGATTCGGATGTCGCCGCCCAGTCAGCGGCCCAACACTGCTTTCCTCCCTCTCGGGTGGCTGGTTGGCAGACGAGCGCAGGTGCTTGCAGGACGTGCCGTCGGGGCAGGGAGGCCGCGCGAGGGCACGCGTGCTCTGCATCCGAGCCCGGCCGGGGACGCTGCGACCTCGCACGTGCTGTGACGCAGTATCGCTTATCCGACCCCCATCCCCATCCTCATCCCCTTCGAGACCCCCACCAATTTGCCATCCCAGTTGGGGATACACCCTCTGAAACCCGACGGGAGCGGCCTACATCCCCATCTGGGGTTAAGTCGGGCCTGTCCCCCTACAGGCCAATACACCACCCAACATGCCCATACATGGTAAAAAAATAGTCCCCACATGATTTTTTGACTATTTTGAATATTCCCCCTGTAGGTGGAACAGGCCCGACAGAACTCTAGGGGGGCCCCGGCCACGCAACTGGGGACGGGGATCGGCGAAACGGTGCTCAGCGTTGCCCCGTCGCGGCCTTGCTGCGGGAGTGTGCTTGGGACTGCGACGGGCGCAGCGGGGGAAGGGAGGTGGGGCAGGGTCCGAGCAAGGTTGCCCAGGGAGGGCGGGGCGCCCGCGGAGGAGCGAGCGCGGAGAGGGGGTGGCGCGCCGCCCGGATCTATCTGTTGCTCTCGAGCCCCCCTCGCCTGGCAGCGACTTCGGCTCGACCAGGGTCCTCTTTCTCTCCTTCTCTCTTGCCTCCTCCTCCTCCTCCTCCTCCTCCTCCTCCTCCTCCTCCTCCTCTCTCCTCCTGACGTCTACCTGGCTTGCCTGCGCCATTCCTGGCTCGCGCGAGCGCTGCCATGTTCGAGCAGGACTACCTGAACGACGACGAGGCCTCTGCGGACGAGCGCGGCCGGTCGCCGAGGCTCCGGGGGGCCCCCAGGAAGGCAGGGAGCTCTGCTCTTTGAGCATGGGGTTCTTGGCTGAACTCGCGAGCCCCACCGCCATGGCCCGTCGACCAGGTTTCGTGTCTGTCTTCCGCCTCATGCCACCAGCGGAGGTGAAAGGCCAGAAGGTTCCGCTGGAGCCTCCTGAGAACGAGAGGCCGGACGCATTGGGGTCAGGATCGTTAGTGAAGCGCCTTCCGTCAAGAACCCTATGTCAGGAACTACAGTCAGTGGACTATTGCCAGTATTGAGATTTCAATGAGCATATCACATCGGGCATCGTATGGGTCCAGCGTCTTGCTCTCAACCTCGTTGCATCCGTCGCCGCTTTGGCTCCAGTGGCGCGCTTTCAGAGCGCGTCAGGGGCCCACGCCATGATTCCCGGCGTGGGCGGGTTCTGGTCGTGAACCGACCACTGGCAACTGAGACGACGACCTCCGACCGACGTCCGACGACTTGACCGAACGACGGACCGACCGACCGAAACGACGACGATCGACGACGACCGAGCGACCGACCGAACGACCGACCGACCGACCGACGACGACCGACGGACCGACAGACCGACGTGGACGACCGACGACGACGACCGACGGACCGACTGACCGACTTACGAGCGCGCGGGCTGACCCAGCTTGGGGGCGAGCCGTGGGTACAGTGCTAGGACCCCCGCCCCTGGCCCGTGCCCCCCCCGACTTATCTATATCGTTAAGCCCTAAACTGGGCGAGGTTCCAGCCCTGAGCTGCTAGGAGGGGCAGTGGCCCAGCCGCCTATGCCGGCAAGAACGGACGGCTCCAGCCTTCAACTGGCACAGGGGAAAGTGTTCCAGCCGCCCACGGTGTCGGTTCCAGGCTCTCTATTTTCGACCCAGTGCGAGTGCTCCAACCGCGGGCGATGCGGGCTCCAGCTCAGCCAAAGCGTTACAGCAGCCCACCGCGTGGGCTCCAGCCACACATTTTTATCCAGCGCGAACGCTCCAGCCGCACGGGGAGTGGGTTCCAACCATGCACTTTCACCGACCGCGTGCATTCCAACCGCACGCGGCGTGGGTGCCAACCACGCACTTCTACCGAGCGCGAGCGTTCCAGCCGCGCACTGCGTGGGTTCCAGCCATTGACTTTTATCCCGCGGGAGCGTTCCCAGCCGCACACGGCGCGGGTTGCAGCCATGCGCTTTTACCGAGTGCGAGCGTTCGAGCCGCCCCCGGCTAATTCTCTTTAGCACATTCGTCCACTGATGGTAGGGTCCGGTTAAAAGAGGCGCTGAAGTCAGGAAACTTACCTGGACGATGGATGGAAAAAAACACGCAACACGGGGCATGGATGTACAGTTGAAGGAGGGGGTGGATGTAGGGAGCAGATGGAGGTGGGGAGTTTGGGAGGGCGGCAGGCGAGCTGGAGCAGCAGCCAGCGAGCCCTGCAGCAGAGGGGATCTCGCCTTGGGTGTGGCGGTCCCGCCCTTTCCGCCAGCAGCCGCACGAGAGCGCGGCACTGCCCTGCACCCCCCGGCGGCCTCTCCCCCAGGGGCGGCGCACACAGGCGCTCGTGCCGCGTGCACGACGACCACGGCGACGACGACGACGACGAGTACGACGACGAGTACGACGATGACGACGATGACGACGACGAGTACGACGATGACGACGACGACGACGACGACGACGACGACGACGACGAGTACGACGACGAGTACGACGATGACGACGACGACGGCGACGACGACGGCGGCGACGGCGACGACGATGACGACGAGATCGGGGAAAAGCGGAGCAGATCGACGGAGACTTGGGCCGCGTGCGCGCGGCGGTGCCCCCCGACCCCAGGGGTGCCGGCTCTGCCGCACGCTTTGTGGCGGAGCGCGCGGAGCACCGCATGGACCGCGGGCACGACATCTTCGGACCCTCGCGGCGGGGGCGGACGAGCCGCGGCCCCTTCGGCGGCGAGGCGGCCCCCTCCGCACCCAATTGGCCCAGCGCCCTGCCGTTGCGCGCCACTTTTTCTTCGCCTTGTTTATCACAGTCGTCGCCCTCCTCTTCCCCGTCTCTTTCCTGTTCTATCTTTTCTGTCCCCTTCCACCCTTCCTTTCTCCTTCCTATCCTTCTTCTCACCCTCTTCTTTCCCCTCCATCTTCTTCTTTCTGATTATATTGTGTTTTTCTTTGCATGTGTCTGCGCGGTCTGTGGTCCAAGTGTCCTGTAAGGACGCGAGCAGGATCACCGTGACTTCCTGGGCGAGGCGAGGGGGATTCGCCTCCGCAGCGTGGTCTGCGGACGCCTTCTGATTCCCCTTCCTTTCCTTCTATTCAGTTTGTAATCCTCCCCCTCCTCCTCCCTCAGGTCATCTTGACATTGCAGTATACATGTGCGCTTCCACGCATGTGCATACTGCCATCTCAGCATGAACGCATGTGATATATGTTGAGCCAGTCTGGGCCCCAACCAGTGCGTTTCCAGCTATGTCGGTTGTGCACTCTAGGTGGACCCATCTATGTAGTTCAAACTATATGGTACAATATATGTTGTGTCTTTCACGTGGTGCAACTGTATCTTTCCCAACATAGGTGGAGCAAACTATGCGGTGCAACCTGAGCGGTGTAAACTATGATGTGCAATATTTGTTGTGCAACCTGTGTGGTGCAACCCAGGCAGTGCAATACAGGTTGTGCTATCTGTGTTGTGCGATCTATGCTGTGCAGCCTATGTGGTGCAACCTGTGTGGCGCACTCTATGGTGTGCAATCTTTGTGGAGCGATTTAGATGGTGCAACACATGTAGTACAATCTATGTTGTGCAATCCATGTGGGGCAAACTATGTTGCGCAGTCTATGCGGTGCGATATGGTTTGTGCAACGCATGCGAAGCCACCTTCGTTGTGCATCCCACGTGGTACAATCTATGTCGTGCAGCCAATGTTGCGCAATCTATGTTTCGCAACCTATGCGGTGCAATCCTTTGTTGTGGGATCTATGTGGTGCAGTCGGTGTGGTGCAATCTATGTTGCGCAGTCTAGCTTGTTCACTCCATGTGGTGCAAGCTATGTGGTGCTATCCAGGTGGTGCAATACATGTTGCACTATCTATGTGAAACAGTTTATATGGCGCACTTTATGTGGTACAGACACGGATGTGCAGTATATGGTGTGCAGTCTATGTGGTGCGAATGTTGTAGCGACGACGGCGAGAACATAGCTGCCAGACCGCCACACAGGCCCACACGACTTGCGGCGACGAGGCGGCGACGGGGCGGCGGCGGTGACACCATAGCACCAGACCGCCACACAGGCCTAGCCCCATAGATGGTAGCCAGCGCTTGCCCCAAACGGCGACGAAATACGAGGGACGACGACGAGACGCCGACGACGGACGACGACGACGACGAGGGAGGAGGAGGAAGGACGACCACGGCGACAACGACGACGGAAACGACCACGACGCTAAAGAGGACGACGACGAAGAACACGAGGAAAGACAGAGGACGACGGAGGCGACGACGACGACGACGACGCGGGAGGAGGGAGGACGACGACGACGACGACGCAAGAGCGAGCGCGCGCACGCTTTTGTTGAAGATCCGTGTTGCGAAACCTTGGGTTTTTGTAGGTTTTTTGGAGACACGGTTGTGAAATCCTTCCGGAACCAATGGGTTTTGAAGGTTTTCGGCTTACGCGCGCGAATAACGCGCGCGTCTGCACTTCGTTTCATTTATTGCAGAGGGTTCTCGCGACGGCACACGCGCAAGGGCGTTCGACTGATTTCGACATGCGCGCGCGCGAAGCCCGTTTAGTAGCATGTTGTGGAAATCTTGAACAACCAATGGTTTTCTTAAGATTTCGCAAGAGCTCGCGCGGAAGTTTGTTTAGCAAATCGGTGTTGCGAAACTTTGTGTTTTTGCATTTTTTTGGGAACTCGATTGCGAAATCTTTCCGGCACCGAAGGTTTTTGAAGGATTTCGGCATGCGCGCGCGACGACGCGCGCGTGTGCACTTCGTCCCGTCTTTTGCAAGGGATTCGCGAACAAGTGTTAAGTTAGAATACAAAATGTCACCGCGTAGTGTTTTTTACAAGGGAACCTAGGGGGGGGGATACCGGCCCCCCTGGGATAGTGAAAATTCATATTTAGGATGGACATGTGGTCAGAATCATTTATGATTTACATACCCGAAAGGGGGAGTGATAACGCCGGGGGGTGGGGTAGATCCTATTTTGTTTTCAGAACGGAGAATCTACGTGGTGTACCATTATTATCTACCGTGCACGTGGAGCAAGTAATGCCCAATAGTGAGTTGTCAACTCCACTGCTCGCGCAATCATCCCACCCATCCACCAGCAACTTGGTTTGCAAAGCCCCCGCGGCGGCGATTGCGATGACTGTTTGGCGCTGGCTGTCGCATCGCTGCGGCTGCGCTAGCGCGCGCAGGCTCGCTCGCAGAGCGGCCAGCTAGTTTGGCGCCACCGACGCGGCCGCGGTGTTTCTGACCGTTTGGTGCTTCCCAGCTCGTCCCGCACGCCGCGCTGGCTCGCGGACATTCTAATGTGAGTCAGTGGCTCTGGCTGGCGCGGTGTCATGGCGACTTCGACAACGGCAGACACGATGATGATTGTAGCGGTTCTGGTGTCGATGGTGAGAATGACTGCGACGATGCTGGTCACGCTTTTGGCGATGACAGTGTCCACGTGTCGGTGATGAAGATTTTGGAAGGATTTCGACATGCTCGCGCGGCCGACGGGGGCGAGTGGCCCGCGTGGTATTCTTGACAGGGTCTTTGCCCACCCCCAGCAAGTGCGCAAGGGCGTTCGAATGATTCCAACGTGCGCGCGCGAGAGACCCGCTGGTCAGCATTTCGTAAAAATGTTGACATGCTCAAGGCTTTATTGATAATTCGCAAGTGCGCGCGCATACGTTTTCAACCACTCGTGCTGCAATGCAATTTTCCAAACACCTGTTCGGGGATCTCAACCTTCGAGGAGCGCATCCTTCCGGAAGCACAAGGTTGCTATATTTACGCGCGCGCGTGCACTTCGTAACGTTTTTATGCGGGGTCTTGGGAATTAAAGCCTTTTGTTGAATCGGTGCGCGCGCATCGTACTATTCGACAGGGGTGGATGTGTTCGGTAAAGGGGTTTGGTTTGGATGCTAAGAAGTCGTATTTGGCATGAGCGGTGGTGCGCAAACGTATGTACATAGCATTGTCCCACGGAGGGAGATAAAACCAGAGATTTGGAGGGTGGTAAATCTTAACTTCTGCTCAGCCAGGACGATCTACTTGCTGGAAAAAGTGATGTGCAACCTACGTGATGCAACCCATGTAGTGCAATATCTGTTGGGGTGTCTCTGTTGGTAATCTGTGTTGTGCAGTCTATGTGGTGCAACCGATCTGCGTGGTGCAGCCTACGGCGTGCAATTCACTTGCCGAACTTGAGGTCGTCAACTTCACCGCTCGCGCAATCGCCCCACCCGCCCGCCCGCAACTTGGTTTGCAAAACCCATTCGGGAGCGATTGCGATGAGTGCTGTCTGTTGGCTGGTGCACGTCTGCGGCCGCGCTAGCCCGCGCATGCTCGCGCGCGCAGCGGCCAGTTAGTTTGGCGCGACCGGCGCGAGCGCGGTGGCGCTGACCGCTCGGCGCGGCCCAGCGGGCGCGTGAGTCCGAGTCGGCGACTTGGGCGGGCGCGGTATCATGGCAATGTCGACGGCGGTAGGCACGATGATGATAGTAGCGATGCTGGTGACGATGCTGACAGCGACGACGGGGCAGCAAGTGACGGCGCCGATGCTGATCGCGCCGACGACGATGAAGGCGTTTTCGCGTCGGCGATGAAGGTTTTTGTCAGGAAGTCGAAATGCGCGCGCGGCAGACGTGCGAGAGTGGCTCGCGTTGCATTATTTGACACGGATCGTACCACCCCAGCGCGTGCGCAAGGGCGTTCGAACGATTCCGACATGCGCGCGCGATGTTGAACATTTTTTCTTAAATTTTTCTTAAGAAATTGCAAGGGCGCGCGCGCACTCTTTAATTGTAAATCCGTGATGCGAAACCGGATTTGTTGTTGAAAACTTGTTTTTTTCGGGCACTCGATTTTGAACTTCTTCCCAAACTGACGGTTTTGTTGAAGGATTTTGGCATGCGCGCGACGACGCACGCGCGTGCACTTCGTTTCATTTTGTGCAAAGGTTTCTCGCGATGGCACGCGCGCAGGGGCGCTCGCGCGATTTCGACGTGCGCTCGCGCGAAGCCCGTTTGGAAGCATTCTTTTTGTTTGAACTGTTGGAATGCTCATTTTCTTACAGAAAATTAATTCGCAAGAGCGCGCGCGCCATTTGTTGTTTGAAAATTGCGTCGCGAAGCCCCGTTTTTTTTTGCTTGTTTTATTCATTTGTTTTACATTCGATTTTGAAATCCCTCCGGAACCGAAGGTTGTTGAAAGTTTTCGACATGCGCGCGCGACGGCGCGCGCGCGTGCTTTTCGTCGCATTTCTGTTGGAAGGGATTTTTGAACACATATGCTTTGTGATCAATGAGTGCGCGCATGGCCGTTTTTTTGCAAGGGGGCCGAGGGGGGGCGATGCTGGTTTGGCTGGGGTAGTGTGAGATTCACACGTAGGATGGACATTGGGTCAGAATCCTACGCGTTTTGCATTGGCCTGCTTGAGACCGCGTCCGACCCGCTCAGGGACACGCGCAGCGCGGGGCCTCGTCCTTCGAGGACGCCAAGAGTCTCATCTACACGAACTTCTGGGACCCTGAGCCTGGCCTGGAGCTTTCTGATCTTAAGCTTGCTTCCCTGCGCAAGTGGGCTTGCGATCCATTCAGCACCCTCTTCCGCGAGGGCATCTGAGGATGCCGCCTGGGGTTGGATACATACTTTGTTCGTATCCATGTTCGAGAGTTGCTTGGTGGGAAGCAGCTCTCCTAATATCATGCTTGTGAGTGTGCTTGCGGTCTTCT